ACACACACACACACACGCGCGAGTCAGTAGAAAAGGGGTGAATTTTCCATGTGCATGTCAAGTCGTGAAAACTTTATCCTTCGTTAAATGCAATCTGCGAAAAGTGCGAAAATTTTAAGAAAAACTTCTGCGGCAACTCGAGGTGGAAACTGAGATGGAGCCCCCAAGATTGACATTGACATAGCCCCCCCCCCCCCCTCCCCCTTTTTTCGCCTGATTTCCCGACTTTTCCCCCCAAATCTCTTCGCTGCCCGGAGGAAAAGTTATGTACTAACTAACGAGCTCAACGACAACACTCGAGCTTGTGAATGTCTTAATTAGAGAGAGAGGGAAATGTGGGGCGGGGTGGGGTCTATGAGTACAGCAATTAAGGCGGCGGCAGTTGAGTGGGCGTGGGACACGGCAACGCCCCATTCTCAGCTCCAAGCACTGCGAAAAATATAGTTGTAATCAGCCAGTATTTTGAAACACTAACCACTTAAGATACTCCTACTTACAGAGATAAATATATATCTGATTCCATTCAGAACCTAACATCTATGTGGTAGGTATATCTCGCAGTGTAGTAAAGTCGCCTATAGCAATTAGCATATTTCAGCTAGTGCCCAAAAAAAGCAGAGCGAAAGAGAGGGGCTTAGCTGGCAAAGCGAGATGGGAATACCGGGCATGAAAGGGGCGGAAACGTGGGGCGAGCAAGGGAGAGAGAGCTATTCTAGAGCGAAGCCCCAAGCTTCTGACTCTCGGCTCCATGCCGCATCCAACATTCAACATCCAGCATCTGCTGGATGTGCACATGCAAAATTTAATTACGACCAAAGGATGAGTGCTTAATTATACGCAAACATTTAAGTTTACTGCTTTTTTCGCAACTAGAGAGGGGTGGGGGTGGGGGTGGGGGTTCTGTCTGCGCCCGAGTGTTTGCCACCGTTGTTTTTCCTATGGCTGCTGTTTGAGCTTTCTCATCTGGACTTTTGCTTTTTTGGCTCGAAGCTTCATTAGGAGCCAAGGGGTTGTTGGCCAAATGTGTGGGTGTGCCTTGAATAGTTGACTTTTAAATAAAACGAATGGATCTTCCGCAAATCGTTATTTTAAAATTTTGTAGCTATTTCGAAACTTTTGATTTTCTTCTAATAAGCTTTATATGTTAGCTCTAGAAATATGAACATTTATTTTCTTAAATGTGTTTAGGGATAAGCATTTAAAATCCTAATGGGTTCCCCAAACTCGCTGCGAATTCCCAGTACAATATTTCTGTTCTTTTCAAGTTCTAACTCAAAACGAAAACAAAAATTGAAAATTGACAAAACCATCATTGTGGAACACAGCAAAAAATCCAATTATCTCATCGAAAATTCCGTTTCAAGCGGCCAAGCGTTTTGCGTTTTTCCACTGCCGAAAAAAAATCAAGGACAGAGAAAACGAGGAAAACTCGACAAAAATCACGACGAACTGTGGGTGGCTAAGGCAAAGCCAAAAACATGACGAGCTTAGGAAAATGTTCTGGCAGGGGGCCAAATGAAAAGTGAAATGCGAAGAGAATTAAAAGCGACAGTGGCCGCGACGTTTGTGGTCCATTTTCCTCGGTGGTTGTGGTCGCCATTCGCGAGGACTGCCTGTCATTTTGTCATTTTCCGCGCTGGAAAATCCGCGTAAGTCCACCAACTCGATTAGCATTTCCACAGATTTGTTATGACCACAGAGCAGCCCCATCTTTTGCCGGAATTATCACATTTTAGACACATTTCCCTCGGCTGCCGCAGGCTTAATGTAAATTTGTACAAATGGAAATTGCATTTTTTGTTTCCCCCCTCATTCAACGAGCATCGGAAAAACTTGAACCGAAGTTTCGCTCTCGTTGATTATACGCAATTATTTCTAATAAAAATGTGTGTATACATTATGTTCTATAATTTTATTAATCGGAATTATGCGAGTCATAGGAATTCACCCATTCCGCAAGCGTTGTCTCACTTATCAATTAAAATTTTCAAATTGCATTAAATGTTTTTATTGCTTGGCTGGGGTCTCTGTGTTGTTTTTTATTCATTCCCATTTGCCTTGACATGCGACTAAGCGTAATATTTCATTCAATTAAAACGGTCACAAAAATGACAACTGGGTGTTGATAATGCCCCGCCCCCGCCCCCGCCCCCGTCGCCGCTCTTACAAAATATTTGGGTTCATTATTAATAATGCAATTACGCATAAAAATGTTTTAATTTATTTCAATTAAGCGTTAATTAAAACTGTGTTTACTGTTTACGTTCGCCTTGTGTGCTGTGGTGTTTCGTTTTGAGTTTTTATACATATGTATATTGTATTGACGCCTTTGCGTTCAGCTGTTGCATTTGTAACTGAGTATCTGCACGAACAAACTGTGAGATACAGTTCAGATAGTTCCTAGTTGTGTTTTTCAAACACAAAGCAACATTTTCGGGACCAGGGAACACATGTGTATGTTGCGTTATGTTATTATATTAAATAACTTGTTCTCTAAACTGTTTACTTGCAGCAACTGCGGCTTTCGCCCCGTTCTGAGTGAGCAGAGCGCTGTGGCAGCAGCGGCGGCGGCAGCGGCGGCCCAGCGGAGCGCCAACCACCCACCGCTTTTCCTGCCACCCCATTTGGCCGCCCAGTTCACCCATCAGCCGCTTTTCCCGGGACTGAAAGGTGAGTCTGCAGCAGCCGCGGCCCATCGATCAGTGGCAAAGTGGCCAGGTCCATCCAAATCACTTCGGTCTAATCAAATTAGCCAGAGTGTGGCATGCTTCAAAATCAAATCCGCTGGCTTGTTTTCAACTAGACAAAATATACATTTTAATGCCACATGGCGTAGCAGCATTAGAACTTCAGATACGTTAAATTGTATTGCAAACCAGCTAATCCAATTAAGGCCAATTAATTGCGCTCGGGTTTTTGCTTATTTTTGTCGAGGCATTTCTACATTATCTGTTATTAATAATATATATACCTTTTTTTCAGGCGTTTCTCCATTCCAGAGCCTGTGCTCGTGCTGCTCCCTGAAGCCTCCGCCGCCGCCGGGCTCATCGGTGGTGGCTCCACTGAGCATTCCGGTCAGCAGCAGCTCGGCGGCCAGTTCGCCGGAGTCACCAAAGTCCTCCGGCCAGGGCTCCGGCCATGATCCGCGGTCCAATTCGGTGGCCGAACTGCGGCGGAAGGCGCAGGAACATTCGGCGGCGCTTTTGCAATCGCTGCACGCGGCAGCTGCCGCAGGACTGGCTTTTCCGGGACTGCATTTGCCACCCCTGTCCTTCGCCCACCATCCGGCCTTGGGGCAGCATGTGGTCAATCACAACAATAACAACACGATGCGAATGAAGCACGAGGCGCAGGACATGACCATGAATGGCCTGGGTCCCGTTTCAGGATCAGGATCGGGATCGGGATCGGCATCAGGATCAGGTGCGGCAGGAGGCACTTCGTCGGCCGCTCTATTGGATCTGGCCGAATCGGCGGCGGTGGCATATCAACAGCAGCAGCATGCAACATTGTCGCCACCAACCACGCCCACGCAGCAGTCATCGGGGGGCGTGGCAGCAGCCGAGGGCTCTCCAGGACCAGGAGCGATCGCAGGATCGGGTTCATTGAATGGAAACGTGGTGCTAACCAAAATGGAGTAGGCAACAGTTGGCAGTGGATAAAAGAGAAAACAAACAGAGTGTGCAATGAAATTTACTGAAGTAGGCACCAGCTGGGTATTTTATTTTCCAGATTTATAAATTTGTACAAACTTTAGGCCAGCTTATTTCCATGCCAATTTTTTTGGTCTCCAAATACAGTCCGAGAAAATCTTTGAAATGAAATACCCAAGCCAGCGCGTTTGTAACAATAAACAATGAAAACATTTTAAAGTTTAATAGTAGATTAAGCTCTCACCTAACTTTAATTTTGAACCAAGTATAGGACACGTATATACGAAAGCCAAAAAAAAATGTATGAAAAAAGAAAAGAATTAAACGGAAGCACTTTAAAAATCTTAGGTACGTTAGAATAATAATTAGCTGTTGTTTGTTTGTGGCAGTTTAAACGCGAAAAGATAACCCCTGATTGAACCCAACATAATCAGCAACAGCCGAGCAACAACTTCAATGATTAACAATATTAATCAACACGCAAACGCATATGAACATATATACAAAATCTAATGCAATATATACACATACCTATTAACAACTACAGTATATAGATATAGCTAACGAATCGAACACATATAGCCTAGCCTATGACACTGAATCGAACACTAATTATAGTAACCGCCAAACCAATATTCATAAATATTAAACGAGTTCATAAAGAAAACAATAAAGATGATCACATTAGGATAACAAAACCGATTTTCCAACTTTATTCATGGGTACACTGGACACCTAAATTTTGCAGGCATTTTCGCATTCCGACTTCTTTTTGAATAGGTTATTGTTTCCATGGCAGCCGGAGTAGTTGAAGTTGATGCACTCGTTTGTATCCTTGCGATAGGTCCACATGGATTGCAGGGAACGACAATTACCAAGGACGCCGAACTCCTCGCCACAGATTGCTGCAAGTTGAATTTGAACCATATAACTTAATGAATTCTGTAGCAATACACTTTTCACATAGTTTCCAAACTGCTGTAGATAATTATATAATATAAAAACCCATTCAAATCCGTTGATATTAGCTACATTACCACGAATCCGTGAAATTGAATCAAACCTATTTGCTAACCGTATTATGGAATTCGAGCGCGGTTTCTCCGGAATAACTTACGATTTTTCAACGCCGCCAAGGCTGATCCCAAAAAACAGCAGAGTAGGGCCAAAACTGTTATGTATTTCATGTTGATTTGGCTTGGGCTTGCGTTTACTGAGATCTCAAACCGAACTGTTGAGCGATCCGAGATGCTGGCTGTATTTTATACTATAGCCCGAAACCGGATCGTTAATCAATCGACGAGGGTCAGCTATTCGGGCACTGACAAAAGCAAGAAACCTTGATAGTATAGTTAAGTTTTTATTTTTTTGCAATATTGCGAAACAAGATTGCCGATTGTTTGTTTTCGATTTTAGGTTACAAAATTGTTTTGTTTCACATTGTGGGGTTTGCCCGAGATGCAAACATGTAACCCTGTTTCTGTGCTTCCTTAGTCCTTGCAGGCCCTTTCGCATTCACTCTTGCTAGAGAACTGATTGGAGTTTCCCCCGCAGCCACCGAACAGGAATGTGGTGCAGGCGTTATTGGAGGCGTCATATGTCCAGGCTGGCATGAAAGCCAGGCAGGCAGCTCCATCCTGCGCCATGCCCGCCATCGAAGAAGGCTGCTGGCACATCTCTGCGGGATGGGGCATCACCCATAGTTTAGTGCTCGGACTCAATCGGATCCTTGCTCACCTGGCTTGGCGTGCACCCAACAACGACTCCTGGACAGACTCAGCAGAATGGCGATGGCAACAAAGGCAATACGAGTATACTTCATTTTAAACAAAAGCCCAGTTGAACTCTGGTAGGCCAGACATTGCCTGACCAGCGTTTTATAGAGGTGCACATATACGTAGAAATCGGGAGGAAAATGGCTTTGGCTTATCTTGCAGGCCAGTCAGCCTTATATAGAATGTAGGCAGATAGCATAGAACTGGCACACAAGTACAGATGTCAATCCAGTAAATCTATTTGCATATAAAATAGTACAAGTAGTATGTACTTCAGGCTAGATTGAAAAAGTATCGGTATCAATAAGGAAGACGCAGGCTTTCTTTATATTCTTTACAGATTTTAGAATTTGTATCGCTAATCAAACGTTTCTCAGACGTAAAAGATAACTTCGCCAACATTCTTTATTCCACATGATATTCTATCATATACATATTAAATTATTCCACGCACTTATCTATACACTTTTCCTTGGAACTAAATTTGTTTGCGTTGCCATCGCATCCTCCGTAGATGAAAGTAAAGCATTCGTTAGTTTGAGAATCATAAGTCCAGAGCTCGAAATATGCCCTGCAAAAGCCTTCCTCGGCAGGGGGTAATCCACAAATTTCTACAAACATAGAACATTAATAAGTGTAAATGGAGAAATCAACTATCAAATAAAGTAATAGAGGCATACCATTTTTCAGAGCCAAAGAATTGGTTGCAAGAGCGGTGAACACAAAAAGAAGAATCAACAGCTTCATGGCGAAAACTATTAGGTACCTTTATCTGACTAAGGCAAAACAATTCTGAAACCAAAGCGAAGCCCATCTTGTATTTTATACTCGTATTCATATTGCATATAGCCTTTCGTAAAGCGTGAACAGTTTACGACTTCACAGTTTAAATTAGTAAGGAGGCCAAATGGTTTTCTAAAATCGTAAAAGAGAGCAAATCCATAAAGATTGGAGAATTTGTAACGCTAAATAAACTATTCTCAGACATAAGCGAGCAGTGTGTTGTGTTTCGTACGAAAACATTCTTTATTCTACAGATATTACACCTTTCCTTGGAACTACATTTATTTAAGTTGCCACCGCATCCTCCGTAGATAAAATTTAAGCATCCGTTATTTTTAAATCATAAGTCCAGTATCGGAATATTGCCAAGCAAAAGCCATTATTGGCAGGGGATAATCCACAAATTTCTACAAACATTATATATTATTTAGTTTAAATGAGAAATTATATTTCTATGCTCGGCATATTATATTGGCCTTAGCTTATTAACATTTTATTCCAAGCACTTTTGTTCACAACTTCCCTTCGTACCAAAATTATTGTCGTTGCCACCACATCCTCCGTAGATAAATTCCACGCACTGTTTGTTGTTTGAATCGTAGGACCATCTGGTTAGAAGTGCCCTGCAAATTCCCACTTGAGAGTGCGGAAGGCCACAGATTTCTGTATATTTTGAATAAATTTCAGCAAAGGACGATCCAAGTAGAATGTGCATGCCATACCATTTTTCAGAGCCAGGGAATTGGTTGCAAGAGCGATGAACACAAAAAGAAGGATCAGCAGCTTCATGGCGAAAAATAGTAGGAACCTTTCTCTGGCTAAGACAACAAAATTCTGAAACCAAAACGAAGCCCGACGTGTATTTTATAACCATATCATAACCATACCGATGATGCGAACAAATTAAGATTTTACACATATTAATAGTTCTTAATTTTTTAATTGGGGTTCGCCTATTAACATTTTATTCCAAGCACTTTTCCTCACAACTTTCCTTCGTGAGTTGCTTCCAATCGTGTACTATTATTCCACCATTAAATGGGAACGAATTAAGATTTCACAGAATTAGTTAGATTAGTAAGAAAAAATCTCGTACCCATATATTTCTGAATTTTTGAATAGAAGTTACGAAAGAAATTATATTTCTGTCTTCGGCATATTATATTGGCCTTAGCTTATTAACATTTTATTCCAAGCACTTTTCTTCACAACTTTCCTTGGAATGAAATCTATTGGCGTTGCCCCAACAGCCTCCGTAGATGAACAATTCGCAGGAATTGCTTTCGGGATAATAGCTGAACAGGGGAAAATAAGCGTAACAAGCGATGATACCATCGCCCTTCATTGCAGGGGGCAGTCCACAGATGGCTAATAGGAGGAATGTGAATTAAAATAGTTCACAATAGTTTCCAAGCAGCTCTCAACTTACGATCCTTGAGGCCCAAGGTAACACCCAGCAGGGCGAACATCAAACAGACGGCAGCAATGAACTTCATACTGATTGCGATTTTGAAAACTATATCTCACAGCTTCCGTGGAACGACTAATGGCAATCGAAGGTGCAGCACTAGGTTATATACGCAATGCCGATCGGCAGATGGGAACTACAATCGTGTACTATTATTCCACCATTAAATGGGAACGAATTAATATTTCACAGAATTAGTTAGATTAGTAAAAAAAAAACTCTTCTGAATTTTTGAAGAAATAATATTTATGTCGTCGGCATATTATATTGGCCTTAGCTTATTAACATTTTATTCCAAGCACTTTTCTTCACAACTTTCCTTGGAATGAAATCTATTGGCGTTGCCCCAACAGCCTCCGTAGTTAAAATCCACGCACTCCTTTTGGTTAAAATTGTAGGACCAACTGGGTATAAGTGCCCTGCAGGCCAATCCTAAATAACCCACTTGAGAGTGCGGAAGGCCACAGATTTCTGTATATTTTGAATAAATTTCAGCAAAGGACGATCCAAGTAGAATGTGCATGCCATACCATTTTTCAGAGCCAGGGAATTGGTTGCAAGAGCGATGAACACAAAAAGAAGGACCAGCAGCTTCATGGCGAAAAATAGTAGGAACCTTTCTCTGGCTAAGACAACAAAATTCTGAAACCAAAACGAAGCCCGACGTGTATTTTATAACCATATCATAACCATACCGTTGATCTGAACAAATTAAGATTTTACACATATTAATAGTTCTTAATTTTTTAATTGGGGTTCGCCTATTAACATTTTATTCCAAGCACTTTTGTTCACAACTTTCCTTCGTACCAAATCGATTCTCATTGCCACCACATCCTCCGTAGATGAACTTTTCGCAGGAGTTGCTTTCGGGATAATAGCTGAATCTGAGCATCGAAGCGAGACAACGGTTGAAACCATCGCCATTCATTGCAGGGAGCAGTCCACAGATGACTAATAGAAGGAATGTGAATTAAAATAGTTCACAATAGTTTCCAAGCAGCTCTCAACTTACGATCCTTGAGGCCCAAGGTAACATTCAGCAGGGCGAACATCAAACAGACGGCAGCAATGAACTTCATACTGATTGCGATTTTGAAAACTATATCTCACAGCTTCCGTGGAACGACTAATGGCAATCGAAGATGCAGTACTAGGTTATATACGCAATGCCGATCGGCAGATGGGAACTACAATCGTGTACTATTATTCCACCATTGAATGGGAACGAATTAATATTTCACAGAATTAGATTAGTAAAAAAAAAACTCTTCTGAATTTTTGAAGAAATAATATTTCTGTCGTCGGCTTATTATATTGGCCTTAGCTTATTAACATTTTATTCCAAGCACTTTTCTTCACAACTTTCCTTCGTACCAAATCTATTGGCGTTGCCACCACATCCTCCGTAGATAAATTCCACGCACTGTTTGTTGTTTGAATCGTAGGACCAACTGGGTATATAAGCTTTGCAGACGACATTAAGATCAACATCACCATCTCGAGAGTGCGAAAGGCCACAGATTTCTGTAATATATGAATATTATATGATTTCCGCAAATGACGATCCAAGTAGAATGTGCATGCCATACCATTTTTCAGAGCAAAGGCACTTGTTGCAAAGGCGATGAGGACAAGCACGGAAATAAATAGCTTCATTGTGGAAAAAATGCTGAACATGTAGCTGACGTAGAAAGAAATAAACTAAAGCTTTTACACTATGTTTCGAGAATTTTATAGCCTGATCATTACAATAAGCTGTCAGCTTATCGCCCAATCACATTGAATATTTCGAAACAAGCACGTAAATTTTTGTTTATTTTATTTATTTATATATTCAAGGTCCTTAAGTAAGTATTTCTGCCTGGCTTACTTATTTATCATAAATGGACACTAATTAGAATGTGTACAATTCTCTGGCTTGCACTTTTGTTCGCATTCCTGAAGGGTTTTAAAATTATTATCGTTTCCATTACAGCCGCCGTAATCGAACTTTAAGCACGATTGAATCCGCGGATGGTAACTGTACCTATCAAAACTGCCGATGCAGGTGATGACACGATCGCCATTTTTTGCAGGCTGTTGTCCACAGATAGCTAATGGAAATGATCACATTTCATAAATATTTTATTACATTTCGACATTTCGCTATAAAAGTGTTTGACTTACGATCCTTGAGACACAAGCCTACGGTCTGCAGCGCAAGAATCAAACAACAAGGAATAACTAGCCTCATTGGAACTTCAGTTTCAAAAGCAATGAGTCTCCGAGTCCGTAGACCAAGTGATGGCTATCGGGAGAGCAAAGTAGAACTGCTTGTCCAGACTTCTAAAGTCTTGAATTGGGCTCTTTCTTATATAATTCTGTACCAAATCAGTGAGTCTCAGGTCAGATAGTGCTAGCTTATCACAAAATGATTGCGCCAAAGCAAATACATGGCAACCCCAAACTGATAGACAGAGGCTTTCAATTTTTAATTATCTTCCTTTTTATTGCAAACACTTGTCTTCACAGTTTTCCCTCGAATTGAATCGATTCTCATTGCCACCACAGCCTCCGTAGATAAATTTGACGCACTCGTTTCGATCGCCGTCGTAGGACCAACTGGGTATATAGGCCTCACAGGAGATTCTGCCATTGCCGTTGAGGGAGTGGGGTAGAGCACAGATGGCTGGAAGTTTCGAATTACACACTGAATTGATTTAGGAACAGTTTTTCACAAACCAGCTTTCTGGGCCAAGGCGTTGGCCACAAAAGTGGCGAGCACAACCGTCAAGATCAACAGCTTCATGGTACAGGGAAATTCAAAAGTAAACTGAACTGCTGAACGACTTAAATAGCCAATATATAGCCATGCTATTGCATTGACTTTTTGATAAGCGCCGAGCTATTTCAACACTGTGATTGTACGACAAACAAATCAAGCTAGCTTATGACTGGGAAATCTCCACAAAAATTCGCACCGATCTATGTAAATATTTTTGCCACATTATTTACTTTCGTCGGCTTCCGAGAAACAACTTTGTTTACTGGGCGCCCGAAAGGGAAAGCCCCCAACCCCCACATTATAATTGTATTATCCAGTGAAATATACAATGAGCCTAACAAGCGCTGTAATTATGGATCGGTTCTGTTATCGATTGGAAAAGGGAAGTGTCTCACTTCAATTACAAAGCCATGTAAAATATATCACATGCGGTGTGGGTCATTTGATAATAAAGGTTAAAAACCATTTCATAAGCGTTTAAATATGCCACGCAAATGTTTCAGTTGATCATTGAAACACCTCGTTATAACAATATTAACAGCTTGCTCTAACTATATATTCATTAATTACTTTTGCTAGTCTCTTAATTATTCCAGCAACTTAAACTGTGCCTTGTAGTGCGATGGTCACCATGAAAACCAAGAATGCTATTTCTGTATGCGATGTAAAAAATAGGAAACATATTTTCTTGAAGCCCTATAATTCCCAACTAGTTCTAGTGAAGACTGTAAGGCATGTCTTCTAATTTAGAGTCACAAAATATTTCAAGTAATCTCTGTTACCGGTCGCGCAGTGAGTGTAGTGTATGTACCGGTGTATGTATGTATGTATGTATGTATGTATGTATGTATGTATGTATGTATGTATGTATGTATGTATGTATGTATGTATGTATGTATGTATGTATGTATGTATGTATGTATGTATGTATGTATGTATGTATGTATGTATGTATGTATGTATGTATGTATGTATGTATGTATGTATGTATGTATGTATGTATGTATGTATGTATGTATGTATGTATGTATGTTTGCATGTCTGTTTGCATGTAGTGTATATGCTACGTGCACAAAGTAGTAAAAATTGTCTCAAAGTTTAACTTACTGTCGGAACACATAGTTATTGCCGCTTTTAATATTTGTTTAGGAAACATATTTTCTTGTAGCCCTACAATTCCCAACTAGTTCTAGTAAAGACTGTAAGGCATGTCTTCTAATTTAAATCTCTCTTACCTGTCGAGCAGTGAGTGCAGTGTATGTATGTGTTCCTACGTGTGATTACTTCCAAGATCAAATTGGCATCCCTCTTGAACAAATAACCGGGCAAATGTTATTCATACAAGTGTTTGAAATGTTATAATATTTATTTTAAAATATTTATTCATAAAAAATATTTACAATACAATATAAAATTATTGTAAAGAAATTGATTACCCAACACTGAAAGGGATATATATTTTTATGTTTCTTCGTATACAAAGGGCTACTAAATTAATCTCGAGCTGTAAGTAATGAAATAATAAACTATTATTTTGTCATAATTATATTAGTGAGTGAAATAGTGAGGTCTTTTAAGTGTCTTAAGTAAAGCCTATAAAATGCCCGAAACGTATTTGAATCGCATTGGCACAATGGCAACGTATGAATCAAACGTATGAATCAAAATCTGCCGTTTTTTCATCCTTTTTTGATATTGTCAGCCTATTTTTTCCGTTTTTTTTTCTCAATCTGTCCTTTTTTTTCAGAAAAATCACTGATGCGTACAAGAGAGCTGCTGGCTCTAGAGCGCTCTCTCTCTCTCTCTGGCTCTTGAGCAAAAATTCGAGAGAGCCTGGAGCCAGCTCTATAGCCAGCCCGAGAAAATCGTGTGCAAAAAAATCGTATGCCGTTACGCATCTCATTATTCTAGTGTCTTTGGTGCTGACTACACTGCTGCACTCGGTTATATACGCAATGCGAACGGCAGATGGGAACTACAATCGTGTACTATTATTCCACCATTGAATGGGAACGAATTAAGATTTCACAGAATTAGTTAGATTAGTAAAAAAAAAACTCTTCTAAATTTTTGAAGAAATAATATTTCTGTCTTCGGCATATTATATTGGCCTTAGCTTATTAACATTTTATTCCAAGCACTTTTCTTCACAACTCTTCTTGGAATGAAATCTATTGGCGTTGCCCTTACAGCCTCCGTAGATAAATAACACGCACTCCTTTTGGTTAAAATTGTAGGACCAACTGGGTACATATGCCCTGCAATTACCCTTTTGAGAGTGCGGAAGGCCACAGATTTCTGTATATTTTGAATAAATTTCAGCAAAGGACGATCCAAGTAGAATGTGCATGCCATATCATTTTTCAGAGCCAGGGAATTGGTTGCAAGAGCAATGAACACAAAAAGAAGGATCAGCAGCTTCATGGCGAAAAATAGTAGGAACCTTTCTCTGGCTAAGACAACAAAATTCTGAAACCAAAACGAAGCCCGACGTGTATTTTATAACCATATCATAACCATACCGTTGATGCGAACAAATTAAGATTTTACACATATTAATAGTTCTTAATTTTTTAATTGGGGTTCGCCTATTAACATTTTATTCCAAGCACTTTTCCTCACAACTTTCCTTCGTACCAAATCGATTCTCATTGCCACCACATCCTCCGTAGATGAACTTTTCGCAGGAGTTGCTTTCGGGATAATAGCTGAAACTGGGCATAAAAGCGGCACACTTGATCAAACCATTGCCATCTTTTGCAGCGGGCTGTCCACAGATGGCTAATAGAAGGGATGTGAATTACAATAGTTTCGATTTGCCAAGCAGCTCCCAACTTACGATCCTTGAGGCCCAAGGTAACACCCAGCAGGGCGAACATCAAACAGACGGCAGCAATGAACTTCATACTGATTGCGATTTTGAAAACTATATCTCACAGCTTCCGTGGAACGACTAATGGCAATCGAAGATGCAGTACTAGGTTATATACGCAATGCGAACGGCAGATGGGAACTACAATCGTGTACTATTATTCCACCATTGAATGGGAACGAATTAAGATTTCACAGAATTAGTTAGATTAGTAAAAAAAAAACTCTTCTAAATTTTTGAAGAAATAATATTTCTGTCTTCGGCATATTATATTGGCCTTAGCTTATTAACATTTTATTCCAAGCACTTTTCTTCACAACTCTTCTTGGAATGAAATCTATTGGCGTTGCCCTTACAGCCTCCGTAGATAAAAAACACGCACTCCTTTTGGTTAAAATTGTAGGACCAACTGGGTACATATGCCCTGCAATTACCCTTTTGAGAGTGCGGAAGGCCACAGATTTCTGTATATTTTGAATAAATTTCAGCAAAGGACGATCCAAGTAGAATGTGCATGCCATACCATTTTTCAGAGCCAGGGAATTGGTTGCAAGAGCGATGAACACAAAAAGAAGGATCAGCAGCTTCATGGCGAAAAATAGTAGGAACCTTTCTCTGGCTAAGACAACAAAATTCTGAAACCAAAACGAAGCCCGACGTGTATTTTATAACCATATCATAACCATACCGTTGATCTGAACAAATTAAGATTTTACACATATTAATAGTTCTTCATTTTTTAATTGGGGTTCGCCTATTAACATTTTATTCCAAGCACTTTTCCTCACAACTTTCCTTCGTACCAAATCGATTCTCATTGCCACCACATCCTCCGTAGATGAACTTTTCGCAGGAGTTGCTTTCGGGATAATAGCTGAAACTGGGCATAAAAGCGGCACACTTGATCAAACCATTGCCATCCTTTGCAGCGGGCTGTCCACAGATGGCTAATAGAAGGGATGTGAATTACAATAGTTTCGATTTGCCAAGCAGCTCCCAACTTACGATCCTTGAGGCCCAAGGTAACACCCAGCAGGGCGAACATCAAACAGACGGCAGCAATGAACTTCATACTGATTGCGATTTTGAAAACTATATCTCACAGCTTCCGTGGAACGACTAATGGCAATCGAAGGTGCAGCACTAGGTTATATACGCAAAGCCGATCGGCAGATGGGAACTACATGCTATTGTATGGGGATCTTATCTATGGGCTCATGAACTTTCGGTTCATTAACAAGTGCTCGTGAAATTGGTATATAAACAGGCGGGACCTTGTGTTTGTGTTTGTAGTGAAAATAATGCCCGAGCAGCAAATAAATCTGGGAACTACGTTCTGAATAAAGTAAATACGATTAGGCACCGATTTGTCATTCGGAAGTGGGGTTGTCTGATTATCTCTCGAATTTTTGTATAGTATATGGGATACTCTGAATTGTACTCGTATCAGCGATCAGGGTATCAGCGATTTAAGAACACATAGTGCGAATCTAGCTGCTATGTATGTTCAAGAAACCTCTATCAATCATTTTAATTTAAAAGAATATTTTTATATAGTTATATTTTCGATAACATTTCATCGAAATTATTGCTTGCACTTGTTCAGTGTCCAGGATTAATTAAGTAATGACTCAACATTTTGTAAGTCGGACGGGTTTTTGGAACTAATGACTTTCTGAGATGTAATTGCTCACCACCTCTGACAATTGCAAATGTATCTACATACTGTACTACTTCAGTATCATTTGCTGCCAGGTATGCAAGTAAAACGAAATAGATGTATGTACGAGTATAAATCACAATAGTATATTCATTGAAAAAGTATAATCAAATGGTTAAATAAACAACTCAGTGAAATATTGCGGAGTTATTTGCGGATGATGAAGATGGATGGCAAATAAATTACAAACAAACAAAAATATTTTAAGCCGAGGTGCTAGTTTCGGTGGCCACTTCGCTGTTTTGTTCGGTGGTTGAGTCGGTGGTGGAACCCGCAGACTTTGCCAAACAGGCCTGCTCGCACTGCTCCTTGGACTCGAAGTTGTTCTTGTTGCCGGCACATCCTCCGTAGACGAACTCCTCGCAGGATTGGGTATCCACGTTGTAGGCATATCGGTAGAACAGGGCGAAACAGCGACCGGTTTCCTTGGGCTGATGGCAGTCCTCCGGAACAGAGAGCTCACTGGCATCCGGCAGGGGATTGGCCACCGCTGGATCCTCCGCCTTCTCCACCACCACATCCGATGGAGCTGCCCGAATTCCGGCTGCCAGAAGCATTACAGCGGCGATTACTATGAAACTGATGCTATATCTGAAGCACATTTCGATTCCGTTGAGTGGATGATGAGCGAATGATTTGGGCTTGTTCGGAGATTGTGGCTTAAATACTATCCGTCCGAACTGATTAACTCACGTACTCACTCGACTGGGTTTTTGCCCACCGTTTTAGCCTCTTTTTGTGTGTACTTCAGTTTTCGGAGCGGCAGCTTGTTTGTCCAACTGATTCGACGCCGCATGTAAATCACGCCGGTGCCTCTCTGACGTCTATATCCATGTCTATATCCATATCACCTGGCACTGACAGCTCTCGAGAAGCTTTCGCGGCCCAACCTTCAGTTGCAGTTCAACGCACCGCCAAGTCAATCATAGTGCTGGCCATAAAATCATATTCCAAGTCGTTTCCGGGCCGGTGTGACAATATTAGCAAGCCAAATCACGTTTGGGAGGCGGATAGGCAATCTAACTGAATTTCCTATAAACTGGTTAACTGACTGTACAAGTGGTTTTGTATGTGGTTATCTTTGGATTAATTGTCTGGCTAAGCATTGATCCGAGTAAGCAAGTGAAGCTATTTTCTAAATTGGATTCGTTTGCGATTCTAATAATCCAGTAATTTTCACAAAGCGCTCATTTTCGTGATTCCAATTATAAATAGACTTGATATACTGCTAACTTGTAATTAGTTTATTATAAAAAGCTTACATTTCGCACTGGCAAAAACCCTTTTAAAATAATTATTTTGAAATATAACAAGTAGTTTGTTATAAAAAGCTTACATTTCGCACTGCCAAAAACCCATTTAAAATAATTATTTTGAAATATAACAAGTAATAATTTCATCTCGCATTTAAAATTAAAAAACAATCTCAGATTTTGCGACCGCCGTCAGTTGATCACTTTTTGGGAATACAAGCTTCCTCGCAAGTTTGTCGGAATCCCCAACGATTGTCATTGCCTCGACATCCTCCGTACTTGAAAGTCTCGCAGGATTTTTTATCCTTGTTGTAGTAGAACCTTTCCAGACTCATGCGACATGGACCAACTTCCAGGGGCTGCAGGCACTTGGGATCTATAAATTAGAGGATTTAAAAAGGGGCCAACTATCAACTATGAATCTGAATAACAAAAGCGATCTTGAAACTGATCAGTATTATTTTCAAGGGCAGCAGGTGAATTTCAAATAGTCTTGCGCCTTTCTGGGATCAGTTCAAAAATAAACAAACCTGGTACCAGTCTCTGAGGCTTGACTGTAGTTGTGGCAACTGCAGGCTTATTTCCCGATGGATTTCCAGGCTGCACCTGAACTACAGCCTTCGGCTTCATATTATTGTTATTGTTATTATTATTGGGAGCGGCCACCGCCTGCGTAAGTTGCACAAGACTTAGCCACACGAGTGCCCCAAGGCAGAGAAACTGGGTCATCCGTAGAAGCATTTTGTGTGTGGAACCTGATAACTGAACGCTGAAAGCAACGACTGTGAACTGAGCTGGTCCGAATGTTCTATATGCCAGTTCTATATGCCGTGCTTAGACGACCAATTACGTGCAAATTAAATCATTTCCCCACTCTCTCTGCTCATCCATGTGTGAGTTAAGCTCGCATTGCGCATACGCCGTGTTGAACGCAGGCGAGATTAATAAATTAATTTCAACACAGCAAGCAGATAGCACATAATATGAACGCATTTACAGAGAAGCTTCAATTGACTAAAATAAACAAAAACCGATACCCTACCATTAAAAATAGAACTGTAGAACAGGTTGATTTTTCGAATTAGGCACACTTTAAGCCAGTCCATTGCCAATTATGAAGGCATCTTCCATGAGAAAAGTCTCTAATCTAAATAACGATTTGCCTGGAAAATAATGTACGTCAACATATTGTATTTATTCATTATATTAGCTGCTGGTAATGGCGAAGCACCAGATGGTTAGTGTGCACTTCATCTCTAAATACCACACCCTTTTAACACATAAGATAATTATATTTTAGAAATCTGTCAACTTACGCCTGCGGCTGATGGCTTTGGAAAAGTGATGTCCTGTGCACACTACTCGAATTGGTTTTCCTATCATTCAGACAAAAACGAATGCGTGGAGTTCTCCTACGGCGGCTGTGGTGGCAACGAAAATAGGTTTAAAACTAAAGCTCTTTGCGAAGATGTGTGCAAAAGTAATTCCACACAGCGTTCAGTAATGCAATAAAATTTTCATTTAGAATTTAACAATTAATTTATTTATATTAATAGCATTGTTATCAAGTGTGATTGCAGCTCATTGGAATACCCTTATGGTGCTAGAAAGATTGCCTACTTTTTGATGGTCTCTTTTTTGTGCTTTCTTATAATTCTTAACATCTGGCGGTCTGAACATTTTTTGGCACATTTAAATTTGTATATATAATTTCTAGTTTTGAAGTTATCATTTATTTCTCATACCCAAATACGATTGGTTACAATAAAAATGTGGCGAAATCCATTACATTGACATGGCCAATTAATCACATCTAATTAATTCGTTTCGGACCATTTATAAAAAGGTTAACGGTGAGCTTTTAGCCAAATACGTTGATTCAAAGTGGATGATAGATTGAGGATGAAAGTATTTGTTTTGATCTGGGCCATATTAGCATTAATGCCAGGCTTACAAGGCAGTGAGTCCACAGGAGAACTATTCATTAATAACTAACACCTAATAACATAAAACCTACTCTTAGACGTTTGCCAGCTTGAACCTTTTGTACAAGGATCATGCCTGGAATTGACAGACCTCTATTCCTACGATGAAAATAGAAACGACTGTGTTTTCTGGCAAGGATGCCTTCTGGCTAGTAATCATTTTACCAAAAAAAACGAATGCGAAGCCATGTGCAAGCAATAGTTCAACTATTTTGTGATCTGAAAAGGATTTCAATATATGAAGCCATTTTTTTGTAATAAAAAATTTTAGTATACCTATAACTTATTGTATCTAACTGTTGTATCTAGAACTAATATCATTGGTCGTCGGTATTACACAATGTCTATAAAAACACTCCCAGTTGATCCGAGTTTGTGAAATCAGGTCATTTTAAATTTTTGTGTTATTAATAACCCTTTTTGGAATGGGATTTCAAGACCGTAAGTGTTAAGTAACATTTTAAATATTCCCTCACAGTAGTTTGCAATCGGAAGCCTAAATTGCCTTTTCATTTCTGGTCCATATAATGGAAGTGATAATTTTTTCTTGTCACAGAACTATATAAATTGTGACAAAAATGTAATTCAGAACTGAGATGTTTTTGGCTTTCGGTGAATTTTGTAAAAGACTATACTGTATTCGTTAAAAATCATTTATTAGGTCAAAGCAATCGACTCCGACCATTTAGGTTTAAATACTCTTGATCTTGGGAACTAAAATTATATTCTATGATTTTCTGAAAGTATTTTCTAGTAACCATTTTAATCGGAACCGAATTGTTTTACAGACGAATCTCTAGTAACTCCTGGAACTAATTTTCTTAATTATGGTGTTTCTGGTCTTTAAAAACGTACTGCCATTTGATCAGAGTTTTTATATTCCTCAATCATTGCCAATGAGTTCGTTTTGCGTTTCTTTTCTTTTAATAACCCTTTTAGGGATTGTGATGTCATATAGAGATCGTAAGTGCCTAACAGTAACACATTTATTCAGTCTCTTTAATTTTACTTAGTTTCGGCCAAGTGCAAACTGTTCCCTTTATCTTATGGATTTTGTAAAATTAGCGCTCGAGGATTTTCTTATGATGCTCGTAGGAATGTGTGTCATCGAGTTGTTCTTCGGTGTATGGGAAGGGATAATTTTTTCTTTGACCAAGATTCCTGCGAATCAGCATGCTTAAAGAAAAAAAATAAGTAACACGAATGTTTTGTACATACTTTAATGTTGCATTGTTGATTAAAAAGTAAGAACAGGCTGAAGACATTTTTTAATGAATTAAAAATATATATAAGATATTCATGTAATGATTAAGAGCAATTGGTTTTGAGCCGCATGGAGGGGTCATAAGTTTTCTTTTTATTTTATTTTATTCTGTTCGATGCAGAACTAATTTAATTAGCCACCGATATTACAAATGTTTTTTATACTATTGTTGCACCAATATTAAATTATTAATATCACCAAGTCAGGGGAAAGAAACAGGAATTGTATTTAAAGATGAGAGCGATCTATATAGCGCTCATATTATGTTGTTTTTATGAACCTCTAATCTCGCAAAACCGTAAGTCTTATGAAATAAACATACTCCAAGTCGTTTTTAACCCACACATTGTTTTGTTTAAGCCATCTGCGGCATAAAGGCCTCTTTTGTGGGTAAGTGCAAGGGTTTTGCCTACATTCCAAGGAAGCATAGGTGTGTAAGGATATCTGGTGACTGTTCCGGAAGGGGAAACTTTTTCAAACGATTCGCGGACTGCGAGGCGAATTGTATAGATTTTGCCAAAGCCTAGAAAAGGCTAACAGAACGTACAGTTTCGACCAAACACGTCGCAAATAAAACTTAAAATCAATTCTTGTTAGAATTATGGGACGTAAGTAATACATAAATATACGACATAATGTATATTGCTCCTCAATGGCCAAACTGAGCCATAAACTGCAAACAATTTGCATAATAAATTCGAGAGTCAGGGCCACGTCCAATAGGTCCATTTTCCATTATTATATGCGAGTGTGTGGCACTTTGTGGGGCTCATTAAAGTTGCATTGTGTGCTGACAGGATGGGAAAGGACTCAAGTTCTGGGCAAGGGCGATAATTAGAGCCACATTAGGGCCAGACTGCTGGACAAGACAAGATGGTCAGCAGGACAAACAGAAGCAGAAACTGAAACTGAAACTGAAGCGATGCCAGGTGTTAATTCGCAGTGCAAATTGAATTATCGCTCGGCGATGATGATGTAACGATAATTCCAATGCTCGAGGAACTCCAGGAGTTTGGGCCCTGTCAAACTGCCGTGCTATTTATTCATTAGCCCATTCCCACACATGGGAGGGTCGAAAATTTCGGGCCGATTGAGTGGCCAAAATGTCAGATGTGCGGGGTGACAATTCAGTTAGCTGTTTAATTTGCCTGAAATAATTGAGACCCGGACGTTAATTGGCCCTCGTCGTCAGCAGCGTTTAATTACTAAATTAGTGACATATTTGTGCAGTTGGAAGAAACGCCAGAACGGCATTTATTACTGGGCAAATTATTTATACATAACAAGTCAGGCATTCAACTGTCTCTTCCAGACGTTTTCAAGTGCAATTTTATGTTGAATTGCATAAAAAATGGATTAGTTTTTGCAGGTCAACAGGTTAAAATAGCAATATATGCTATATGTGATGAGTTATTTTAAATTAAAGTTTTTAAGTTATTTTTCATTTTATTATTTTCCCCCAATTTCTACCGATATTCCACAAAATTTTGAAATTATTTCGACTATAGAATTATATCTTGTTTTTTTTTTAAATTTTGTTGTACATTTTTTTGTTTTTTTATGATGATTTAGAAATCAAAAAAGTCCTACGGCAGAAGTTCTAAGCTTATTAACTTAAATTATTATTATAACTTATTAGTGAAATACCTCTAAATATTTCTGGTGCAATCTGCATTCAAATTTAGAAATTTTTAAAGTATAATGTTGAGAAATTCAAAAAAATGTCCCCAGCCTTAAGTTCAAGACCCCATAACTCAACGTATCCAAATCGGATTTTGAAGTGGAATACCTCTAAATACTTCTGGTGCAATTCTCTAAAAATTTGCATTCAAATTTAGAAAAAAAAAATTTTTTAATTTTTTTGTAAATTTTCTGATGCATAATTCTGTACAAAGTCGATAAAATCAAAAAAATGCCCCAAGGCTTAAGTTCAAAACCCCATAACTCAACTTAACCAAATCGGATTTTGAAGTGGAATACCTCTAAATACTTCTGGCGCAATTCTCTAAAAATTTGCATTCAAATTTAGAAAAAAAAAATTTTTTAATTTTTTTGTAAATTTTCTGATGCATAATTCTGTACAAAGTCGATAAAATCAAAAAAATGCCCCAAGGCTTAAGTTCAAAACCCCATAACTCAACTTAACCAAATCGGATTTTGAAGTGGAATACCTCTAAATACTTCTGGTGCAATTCTCTAAAAATTTGCATTCAAATTTAGAAAAAAAAAATTTTTTAATTTTTTTGTAAATTTTTTGATGTATAATTCTGTACAAAGTCGATAAAATCAAAAAAATGCCCCAAGGCTTAAGTTCAAAACCCCATAACTCAACTTAACCAAATCGGATTTTGAAGTGGAATACCTAAAAATATTTCTGGCGCAATTCTCTAAAAATTTGCATTCAAATTTAGAAAAAAAAAATTTTTTTATTTTTTTGTAAATTTTCTGATGCATAATTCTGTACAAAGTCGATAAAATCAAAAAAATGCCCCAAGGCTTAAGTTCAAAACCCCATAACTCAACTTAACCAAATCGGATTTTGAAGTGGAATACCTCAAAATATTTCTGGCGCAATTCTCTAAAAATTTGCATTCAAATTTAGAAAAAAAAAATTTTTTAATTTTTTTGTAAATTTTCTGATGCATAATTCTGTACAAAGTCGATAAAATCAAAAAAATGCCCCAAGGCTTAAGTTCAAAACCCCATAACTCAACTTAACCAAATCGGATTTTGAAGTGGAATACCTCTAAATACTTCTGGTGCAATTCTCTAAAAATTTGCATTCAAATTTAGAAAAAAAAAATTTTTTAATTTTTTTGTAAATTTTCTGATGTATAATTCTGTACAAAGTCGATAAAATCAAAAAAATGCCCCAAGGCTTAAGTTCAAAACCCCATAACTCAACTTAACCAAATCGGATTTTGAAGTGGAATACCTCAAAATATTTCTGGCGCAATTCTCTAAAAATTTGCATTCAAATTTAGAAAAAAAAAATTTTTTAATTTTTTTGTAAATTTTCTGATGCATAATTCTGTACAAAGTCGATAAAATCAAAAAAATGCTCCAAGGCTTAAGTTCAAAACCCCATAACTCAACTTAACCAAATCGGATTTTGAAGTGGAATACCTCAAAATATTTCTGGCGCAAATGTCTAAAAATTTGCATTCAAATTTAGAAAAAAAAAATTTTTTAATTTTTTTGTAAATTTTCTGATGTATAATTCTGTACAAAGTCGATAAAATCAAAAAAATGCCCCAAGGCTTAAGTTCAAAACCCCATAACTCAACTTAACCAAATCGGATTTTGAAGTGGAATACCTAAAAATATTTCTGGCGCAATTCTCTAAAAATTTGCATTCAAATTTAGAAAAAAAAAATTTTTTTATTTTTTTGTAAATTTTCTGATGCATAATTCTGTACAAAGTCGATAAAATCAAAAAAATGCCCCAAGGCTTAAGTTCAAAACCCCATAACTCAACTTAACCAAATTGGATTTTGAAGTGGAATACCTCAAAATATTTCTGGCGCAATTCTCTAAAAATTTGCATTCAAATTTAGAAAAAAAAAATTTTTTAATTTTTTTGTAAATTTTCTGATGCATAATTCTGTACAAAGTCGATAAAATCAAAAAAATGCCCCAAGGCTTAAGTTCAAAACCCCATAACTCAACTTAACCAAATCGGATTTTGAAGTGGAATACCTCTAAATACTTCTGGTGCAATTCTCTAAAAATTTGCATTCAAATTTAGAAAAAAAAAATATTTTAATTTTTTTGTAAATTTTCTGATGTATAATTCTGTACAAAGTCGATAAAATCAAAAAAATGCCCCAAGGCTTAAGTTCAAAACCCCATAACTCAACTTAACCAAATCGGATTTTGAAGTGGAATACCTCTAAGTATTACTGGCGCAATTGTCTAAAAATCTGCATTCAAATGCATGTAACAGGCAGGAGGAAGTGTAAGAAAGAAACGGACCATATAAAGTATATACGAGTATATTATTGATCAGGATCAATAGCCGAGTCGATTGGCTAATCTTTTTTTAATTTTATTATTTTTACCGATGCTCCAGAAATTGTTGAAATTTCTCGTTTGCACTTCCACTAGCGGAGTAATGGGTATCTGATAGTCGGGGAACTGGACTACAGAATTCTATATTGTTTTTTCCTAATATCATGGGCTGCACAGGCAAATTGAAAGCGAAACCTATACTGAAATTGAAATCGCGCTTCTGGCTGTCAATCCATACACCTTACTAAGTCGTAGTTGATTTCAAAGTATTGGCAGAGCCGCTTCGTTGCCGTTGTGCTGCCAATTGAAATGCGGAACATGTTTTTGTTGCCTTCTGCCCAGTCTCTTTACGTCATCTACGCGAGCGTTGATTTTTTATGGGAGCTACTGTAGGGTATGCGATGGGGAGTTTCGATTTTCCCACCCAGCCTGTCATCAGAAATATTTGTTGAACTGCGTAAGTACGAACATTACAAATGTGATGAGCTCATACATAAATAAATCAAAATCGAGAGACCTGAAGCAGTTAAAAAAATAGGGCTCTCCACTTATGCGTTGGCCTAAGCCATTGCCACTTGTTAACTTGGTCAATGTTGAATATTGGCCACAAAAAGAGGTACCAAACGGGTATGAGGTATGAGCGTTTGAAGGCGTTTGTAAACACAGAAATCAATGCTCAGAGAGCCCGCTTCAGTGAGTTGTGGGCCCAAGAACGTGACGGTTGAATATCGCTGCAAGTGGAAGTCAAGGGGTACCTCCGAGCACCAAGTGATCTAGATGTCACGATGCCGGCTCATTGGCAGTGGCTTTTCGTTGGCCTCCTCCTGCTGATTCCGCACCATTCAGGGGCGGCCTCCAAGAGAGGTAAGTGCAGCGGTCAGCAGGCAACGCCACACTAATCGGTGATATCTACTTAATCCATGTAGTGAAACTGTGCCTGCAGCCCATGGTCAGTGGTCGTTGCTTTGGATACGTGGAGAGCTATGCCTACAATCCCATAAAGCGCCATTGCGAACCCTTCATCTACGGCGGATGTGGCGGTAATGACAATCGATTTGGCACCAAAGCTGAGTGCGAGTTCAACTGCCGTGATATTTGAGAATGTCAACCGAAATGTCACACTTACAACAACTGTCATTAAAGTCAAAAGCAATACAGGTAGAAAACTAAAAGCTGAGGGTTATGTTTCTAAATATTCCATTTGTATTATTGGGGCAACATCTTCGATATTCATTCAATCTTAAGGTAAAGGGAAGTCAGCTTCAGTTATTGCTTCCTTTCCTGTTACTGGTCTTTCAGTTTTTGTAATTACATGTTGTCAAACTAACAAATATATATTACAAACTACTTTTTAACTCGAGCATAAAATCCATTCTAAAGATCATATACAAAATGGATCACAATAAGCTTGCAGAAACTTAATGAATACCTTCCTATGTTCTCAGGTTGAACAAATTTCACCATCGAACATGAAAGTATTTTAATTACATTCCACTAAATAAGCCACGTTTAAAATAGCAACTATGGATTTTTCTTTTCGGTGTATTCAATGTGAGGTTTCGTTGGCCTTCGCTTGGTTGCGCCGCTTCACGTGCCGCGCATTGTTGCAAATCTTTTCGCAGTCTTCCAGGGTTCCGAAGAGCTTTCGATTGCTGCATCCCCTGTACTGGCACCGCTGTGTCTCCGGATCGAAATATATTCCCACGGTAGTAGGACCACACAGTCCATTCGTACTCGGCACCACCTGGCACGCATCTCCTGAAACATGGCACACATAAATATTGGATATTGCATTTATAGCTAACTTTTGGAACATATTGTGGTTCAAAGTACTCAAATCGTATTGTAGTTTGAACATTATTTTAAAGTCCTTGAATGTTTGAAGCATTCATAATTTGTAGAATAACATGTCACAAAAGTTGGTAAGCGTATGACAAATTTTCAGAATTTAGTTTGTGATTCATAAACTGTACAATAAAATGTCACTAAAGTAGGGAAACCGTATGACAAATATTCAGAATTTAGTTATACAAATTTCAATTTGTTATGCAAAAAGTCATTGGCCTCAGAATTTCGGCATTGACAGGTTGAAAAACAAAACCCAGATAACCAAACACCAAGTTATACATTTTCACAATATTTTCACCTCTTGATTATGAGAAACCTTTGAATACTTACGGACACGAGCCTCTGCAGTGAATTGTTGGTCCAGGATAATGGCCAAAATCACACAAAATCCAATGGTGATCCTAAGCTGATTGTGGTTGGCCATTTTGACCATACTCTTGAAAAGGCTCTGGGTAGTAGTTCCTCGGAATGGAGTCCACTGGCTCCAGTTGGTCAACTCCGTATTGCAGCTCTGCTTTGCTCCCTGGCCCGGATGATGTCAGTCTGGTTCAGGACAAACACAAATGCGCAGCAGCTCGCCATATATAATGGGCAGTGCGGAATGTGTCCGATTCTACAGTGATTGAAAGCCTATAGTATATGGATGATCGGCCGATCCGTCTGCTCTGCTCAATTATTTATTTTCTTTTTGCAATTTGGCTGGATTTTATGAGTTTTTTATACCCGTCGCATGGCTAAGTTCATCTAGAGTGCAAAGGCCCAGGCGAAAAAATGTGCTAAGTCTTTGTTGCAGCTGTTGCCAGTTTGGGATACAGATAGGGCACAATACTCCAAGGTACTATTGCCAGTTTTCTTGGACTTTGTCTGCGCAGTTTTGAAATTGTGGAAATTCTTGGATGGATGAAGAAACGGATTTGGTTCACCACACACTTGGTCACTGACTAAACGTCGAGTCGCGAACTCGACTCGAAACCTCGAACAAAAGGCATCCGAGGCACACATTTGTAATCGGAGTGCCGCTGCCAGCAGCTCTGCTGAGAGAATTAAAACGTACACCGAGCAAAATATCTATCTTTCAAGTAATTTTAACATTTTCACAAATTTATGTGAAACGCTAGAACGCATACTCAGCATAAGACATTAAAACCACTAATATTTCCGAGTTTCCGCATTATTATTATTATATGTTCGAACCTATAACTTTACTGAAATAAAAGAACATTCCATTCTCTGTGTGTCCGCACTGATAAGACTTCAGCATCGAAAACTGCGATTTTGCATGAGTGATCGATGGTGATGATCATACTGCGATCTCTCCTCCGATTCCAGCTAAATCCGGCCAGTGCCTGTTGCAGAAGGCTAAGATGATCGCAGAGAGGTGCACGGCTGATAAGGCCAACGTGACGTATACGCAACGAACTACTTATGACCTAAGTAAATGGATGGATCAGTAATATTTACTAAGTAATGTCAGATGCTTATCTACGCGAAACTTTATTGCAGTGTTGTAATGGAGTAAACCAAAGAGCAACATTGTTCGCCGATTATATTACTTGGGCTTGTAAATTTCGCTTTTCGTCAAAGTTTACGTTAACAAATGTTTGTGTGATACACAATCTTTCATGAATTTTCCTAAAATAGTTCCGTATATATCTTATTATTTTCAAAATATGTAAGCCAAGATCATGCAGCTTGATTAACACAATATTACCTACATAAAGTACAATCACAAGAATTACCAGAGCTATTAAACTGATTTTATTCTAGGGTAACACGGAAATATGCTGACATAAGCCGCGTTTCAACATTCGACTAAGTAACTCTGAGTGCCAAACGAGCGACAATCACAGATTTCCGCACGTTTTGATAGTGCGAGCAATGGAAAAAGAAAAACAATTACGTCACAGGTCAACGGGGCGGATGATTGACATCCAGCTGAGACTAAACATTCCAACGCAATTCGTTTGCCGCTCTCGAAGATTTCGTCCACTCTCACCGAATGAAACTCATTCATTATTCATAGTTGGTACATTTGTTTACGTATTTATTTCTATTACTCGTTCACATAAAAGTCATGATTCCGGCGTATCCCATGGATGCAGGTGGACACGCAATCCTGCTGGCTGCCGAAACTCTGGCCACGAATCAAGTGGCATGCCCCGATCTTGTACATCTTACAGTCGAACGTTATCGGATCGTAATAGAATCCCTCGATATCAATGGCACAAACGCCCTCCGAACGTGGCGGTGGTTTTTTGCAAATACCTAACGAGTAAATCATTATTCATGTTCAACGTACTGTTTCCTGGGGGTCGCAGCAAGGAAAAACCAATCATTTTGCGAATGACATTCTGGCATGGTAACAACTTTTGCTTCTGTGACACCCCGATCGATCAGGCTACTCACTGGGTATCGAAGGCGGACCGGCCACGAATCTAGCATCTGTGCGGCGGTGGTGGATCAGCGCCAACAGCACCACCAACAGCAGCGTTAGCACCACCGACGCGGGCTTGTGTCGTGGCATCTGGACTGGCGGCGGGCAACTGAGTAACCGAGGCGTTCGGGAACACTTTCGAGCTCAACCCGCCGAGACCAGCGATAAGGAAAGCACTGCTAACTACAATCACTTGTAATGTATATCAAGGGCCAGCACGAGCGGAGTTATAGTTGTCTTTGTAAATTTCCCACAAAATTCAAAGATAAAAGAACGATGCCCTGTTGGGGTTCATAAATATTGCCATACAGCTTCCGGGTTGTACAAAATATAGTTTTTTGTGTATTATATCTTATAATAAATAAGGTAAAAGACCGGTTGGTTAAAGCAGTTCGTGAATGTGAACATCCTTGCGCACGGCATTGTTGAAACCCTCCTTATAGCGATACCAAATAGGGCTCTTCACAATAGCATCCGTTTTGGCTGCACAAAAAATTAGTGTGTTTATCGATTTAGAGATTCACATTTAAGAGATTCCAGTAACTTACATTCCTCGGCTGAGTTTGTCGCAGTCGTTTTGTGAGTAATGCGCCCAAAAAAGTCCTTAGTGAGCTGAAAGGAAACAGGATAGAAATTAGTAAAGCTTAAAAAATAATTCTTACGCTACTTGAGATATTCAAGAGGAAATATATATTTGAATAACTTCAAGTAATTGTATGAGATTTTTCTGGAATAAAGAGAGAGTTCAAAGTGAGTGCCCTCATGAAGTAAACAATAAAGTAGCTTTCTCAGTCGCCTTCGCTTAAGACGAGCAATAAATGTTCGTTTGCGCTGATCCCACATTACGACTCCAATGACAATACCGCTGGAATCCCCTTATGGGTTATTAGCTTTGCAAGGATTTGGCACGAGGAAAGAGCTTCGGCTTAAGCAGCAAAGGAAAGCCATTTGGGGGAGGAAGGAAGTGAACTCAATTTTGACCGAAGCATATGCGCACTTCTTTGGAGAGTGGCGGGAATTTGCAAGTAAATTGCTGCTAAGTAAATGCAAGGCATGCAAATGCTCATAGATTCACCTGCTGCTTGGGTGCACTGTGCATATTAGAGACCGAAATTGGTTTCGGCTTCAATATTTGCAAATGATTGGGTAGCTGCGCTGCTGCTCCTGATGGCTTCGTTTTTGCGGCTGCTGCTGAGGGTGCTCCGCCCTTGGGGGCAGCTCGTCGGATCCGTTCCAGGTCCACCTCACGGGCTATCAACTGGCGGCTGAAGTAGGGAAGCGACAGACCTGTGTAACCTGTAGATAAATGCAAACGAATTTAGCTTTAAATAGGCTTTGCATCCGTGTCTTATACTCACCTGGAAAAGCACTGAGTGCATCGAGATCCGGTTCTGTCTGAAAGACGTAATGTCCTTCCTGGGACTTGACCTGCACGAACGTTAGGCCGAGATCAACCATCACCTCGATGGTGTGGCGCAAGTCCTGCTGCTCCCTGTGGTTAATTGCATATGCATTTATAGGAATGTTCCAGGGTTATCAAGGAGTACCCACTTTGGAGACAGCAACTGCACCGCGACGGAGCGTAGTTGCGGCGATAGAATCCTCTTCAGCAGCGGCACCGTATCGAGGAGCAGAGTTCTGCCCTGACCCACACCCAGCGCAGAGGTGGTGACACCTTTGCAGATGGCCTGAAAGATGTTTCTCTGGTTGGTGCTCTTCTGTTGGAACTGCAAGGATACAAAATGAAGGGTTGGTCCTTGGGCAAACAGTGCGAAATCTATGCAGGAGTCTCATTAATCTTGTGATTGCATTTGAGGCACATAATGGACAAGAAATTACATGGCTTGATTGTGTTGATTATGCACTTTCCACAGGGCTTGGCCGGGGATGTTTGCCCCGGCTAATGACGCCTGCATAAATCATGAGCCTGCCTCAAAGAAGCAGCCTCTCTGCGTTGAAAAGAAATAATGTGGCCCGGGGCCATCATCTCGTCATCGTCATCGTTTCTTTTACATTTTCTTTCTACAGCTCACCTCAAAGCCACGCGTGGGAAATGCGATTTTCGGCCAGGCCAGTGTGGCAAACAGCAAATGCCAAACGACAAACCCGTACTGCAGGTACGGATACACACTGTAGTTCTGCTGTCGGCTGATCTGATGCTGCAGCGAATCCGTGAAGCAAAACCATTTGAGGGCTTCGCACACGCCCGTGAAGTTCGGATCGGGCATCTTCTGTTGCAGGTAATTCTCATACACGCCTTGCGTTAGTCTAGAATCATAGAAGATATAAAAACCTTTCTAGCTTATGATTATATGATTCAACGTGCGATTACCTTTCGAAATCCCCACTAGAGTGGACAACCTCCAGAACATTGCGAACTCGTGTTGTCACAGACGTGTTTGTCATTGTGACCTGGGCGGGCTCATCGACCTTATTGGCGTCGGTCTGCAGGGTTTTCCGGGGACGTTGTATCTAACAATTAATTTATATTGTAAAATTGTCCCACAAATACTCCAAATACAAAGACCCACCCGGAAAATAGCATCCCACACGGCAAACAGGCCTTGATGTCTGTCCTTTTGACCTAAATTGTTGTTGAGCACATCTTGCAGAGTAAGACTGTGCTTTTGGGCACTACAAATTGAATTATCGTTAGCAAAGTAATGAATAAATATTACGTATTTACCCACTTAAAAAACTGCATGGATGATATACAGCTTCTCACATCGTTTCCGGATTTCTCAGCTAGAGCGATAAGTGAACCAAAGTCCGTTTTTAGCTGCTCTTTGTAAGCAATCTTAACTAATCTGAAAGTAAGATGGCATAGCCCATAGAATATATACAATAGTTTTAATATCCATACAAGTTTGTACCTTTCCGCCAGACGGGCTGCATCGATGGGCGGGAAGCTGACTACGAAGGCCACCTGCCTCAAAGGACGCAGGGCGGGATCGTAGACATCGTTGCAAATGCAGATAATGGGTCGCTTTAAGACGTTGTGCTCCGCCTTGGCGCCCTTGGCCTTAACTTTGCTGTAGACAGCATCGCTGATGAACTTGACCAGATAATCAATGGATTGACGAGGGGCGCCATCGATTTCATCTAGAGCAAAATCAGTTTTAGTATATGGCATTACCAGTTTAAAAGATATTTGCTCACCTAGAACTATGCAATTGGGTCGTTTGTCTTCATTTAGAACCGAAGACATCTGTGTGCCATTCTCCAAGGCCAGTTTGAAGGCCTCTGGACTGCGATCATCGGAGGCGTTGATCTCCCGGACATTGTAACCAGCATGCCGGGCGATCGTGTGCGCCAGCGTGGTTTTTCCCAGACCTGGAGGACCGCATAGCAGCGCCACCTTCTGCATGGGCCTGCCCAAGGCATCCACATTTGTGTTGAGAGCTTGTCGAGACTTGCGCTGCCGCCAGCCGCCATTGGATTCGAATTTGCCCGTACGCTTATTGAAACTATTCAGCTGGTTGCCAGCTCCGCCAGCAGTGCCGCCCTCTCCAGTCACCGCCTCCTGTTCCCGTTTGCTGTGGAAGGCTTTGCCAAAGACCACTTTGTCCCACATTTTCAGCCAGTAGAGCAGGCTCCTGTTGGTCATTTCATCGGAGAGCAGGTCAATGTATTTCCTCGGCTTGTACTTGTCCACCCAAAGGCGTCCGATCTCTGAATTGGAGTTGCTGTTTACGAGGGTTACATCTGGGTCTTCGGCGGCTGCTGCGCGGCTTAAAACCTGCAGGATAATTGACAATATTACTTGGTTTTGATGACATTTCCTGATACTCACTATTTCCCCGGCTTCTTGCCAGATCTTCACCTTGGCCTCACCCAAAAGACTGCCCGCCACCTCGCCTCTGGCACTGATCAGTTCCAATTGCCTTTGCTCATACTCCTCGGAGTGGAATCTCACGTAGATCCGCTCGAGATCACTGCGCTGAATGGCCAGGAAGGGCCAGTTGGGGATCTCATACGATAGGTTTCTCATCTTGAAGTCGTGCAGCGCCTTCAGGCGACTTACGTCGTCCTTTCGCAGAGTTTTGCTGGACTCTCGCATTTTTCGCCGCAGCTCAAGGATCCTGTTGATGGCCTCGTGATCTCGTTGCTCCTCGGTTCGGGCTTTCTTCACCATGGGGTCTTCGTAGGACTCGTGAAACAGGTCATCAATGTCCCCGAAGAGATCGCGTTCCAACCGGCGCTTATTCACATTTTTGAGACCCACTTCCTGGAGCTGATTTGCTGCTGGATTCTCCTTTTCCAGGCCAAAGCCCCGGCTTGTTAGTTGTGTGTTTTCAAGCTCCGCGATGGCGGGCATTCGCTGGAAGGGCGTGGAGCAGCCCCTGCCCACCGGTGGACCTTTGGGCGTTCCAAACAGGCGCCGATTAACGAGGCCTCCAGTTGAAGTTCCGTCTCCCTCATCTTCGCCAATCAGCTGGCTGCTTCCAAAGGTAATCTGCGACAGTTGTGGCGAACACAGAGTGGAGTTTCCAAGCCGGCTGATATCCTTTAATGCCGGAGGAGGCGCTCTGTTTTCCTTTTGCTTGGCAGCCGCCTGTTTTGAAGTGCTGGGTCCATCGTACGCGTTAAACTCGTCCGGCAAATCTTCCAGCAGCTCTAGTTCGTCTTGGTACTGCAGCTCGAACTCCTCGTTTTCATCCGGGTACTGATCCATTCTGGTTTCCCACGAAAGTCCTTATATTATTAGATCTATATTATATATAAACAAATTGTTGCACTCTTTTTTTCGCGCCAAAATATACAGCTGTTTTACGCGGAGTTGCCATCTGATGGAACTATCGAAGTGATGGCTGTTCAAGCTGAATGAACATGAGCTCCAATCATTTTATTTAATTTCATTTATTACATTTATAAATGTGAATAACAAGACCTTATATGACTAATTTCAAAAATTGGTATTCATATTTGATTTTCGTAACTATCGCTCTGGCATCAACTTGCATAACTATCGCATCAAACAGCTGTGGCATGCTTATACTTCTCTCTTTGTTTCTCTTTTTATGAAAAGTGATTTTTCCGCCAAAAGGGGAACTTTTTCGAAAACGATGAGTCACTGCATCATTGCAGTTACATTCTCTAATTTTTAAATGTTTATTTGAGTATATATTGCACATAAGTCATAGATAGACACCCATCTATAAGGTTGCACTCCTAACTATGTAAATCTCTTCAAAACCTTGGTGGACGAAATGGGCTTTTGACACCGCGGGCACTTGAGGCAGGTTTCCGGATCTCGATTACCTGTGACCCTGTGCAGACACGGATGTATCTGCGTTATCAGGTTGTTATTGCCTGTGTTTGGATCTGCAATATCCAGTTGTTGGCGGTTTATCTGAAAGATTTGTTTCATTTTAGGCTAGCACGTGCATATGTCATTCGATTCCTACTCACTTTGTAGGCGTCCCTCCATAATTTTGAATTGTAGCTTTGTTTTCTTGGGTCATTATATTCATAAACACGCTCACCATTTTTGCAACGAGCAGCATGCCGATACGGCGGAATTGAGACCGAAAGTTTTTTAGTTTGCGTTTCGGCTTCAGCAGCAACAGCCGAATCCAAAATATCTCGTAAATTTAATTCGGAGGGCGGTGTGTTCGAAACCGGCTTTTCATCATCATATACATATTCGTGTGGTAGATCAGAACTTTTTACAATATTTTTGTATTCCTCCATGATGATATATAACACGGGATATTTTATATTCACCCCTCTTATCTGCTGCAAACTAACTGACTAACTGAACTGCAGCACTCGCGGCGATCAGCAGAAATTGCTTCTGGAAAGTACCATGATTGGGCGATTAAACCCTAATTTTGGCCGACTGCATTTGTTTTTGGCGGTGGGTGGTCGTCATCAAATCAAGTCCAGATGCACATTTTTTTACAGTGTATACAAACAAATAGAGGCAACAAAAATATTTATATATGTGTACATATGTATGTTGCGATATTTATTTTTACAACGGTCACACTAAAAAACAGCTGTTCGCGTGCCATCACTGTGGGAATGAACCGAAGTCCCAATTTAAAAACTTGCATTTGAAGTTTGTTCTTGCATTTATTTGTTGTGCATCTCGTAGCGAAATAACACTTAACATCTACAAGTGCTTAAGTACTTGCCCCCAGTACTTACTAATTACTATCCCGAAAACATATCGATATATTGGTACTCAAATCTTTTCTCATCCCTCGCTAAAATCGGTCAGTGAACATATAGATAACAAAATAATGCAACTCACAGTTTTAGGCGAAGCGAAAGCCCCTGCGGCGCTGAAATCGGACAGATAATATATAGTTATATCCACTATAGTCTGCCACATAATAGAGTTAATTCCCCGCCCCGAAAAGTGCAAAATATGATGTGTTGTTAGCCGAAATCAACGAACAGAACAGCTGCTATGACCAAGAAATCGGCCGACTCCTCAGTTTGCACACTTTTGTTATAGTTTCGTGTATCCGAGGGAAAATCAAAGAAAATCCAGGAAAATTAACGAGAGAGCGAAAGCGGAGGGAACGAGAAACCAAATCGAAACACAGCGATTTGGTTTGGGTTTTTTATTCGATTTTCTGCACACACCCACGCAAAGTAAGGGATAAAAGTTATTTATTTACGTCATCCACTGATAAGAAAGTAAAAACATTCGCATTGCAAGTGAAATTAATGGTGTGTTAATATCTTGGGATTACTTGCCCTCGATAAAATAATAAACAACTTGTGACCACAGTTGAGAATTATTCAAGTACAGTGCGTATACGCTAGCGAGCACAGTGCTCGATAAAAGAGAGAGTTGGCACACAATATTGTACGATTTTGCTTAGTTTCAACAAGTATTTTACCTCTATTAATAAAAGTGTATATTATTAACAAATACGAGATAATTCGTTTAGATTTGAATAGATTATTGCAATACTAATTATCCCCTCCCACAGGATGCAGAACTGGCTGGCCTCACACGATGGCGACGAGGATGCGATGGCGGCGCCATCATCCTGTCCCGCGTCCTCGGAAAACGGCAGTCGATTGGAGTCCCGCCGGATCTTTGGCGACATAACCACCAACAGACTGTGGAACTTTCGGGTGCTGATGAACCAGGAACTGGCGTCCAACGAGCAGCTGGCCATTGTGGGTAATTGCGAGGCACTGGGCAACTGGCAGCACTCGGGAGCGGCTCTTCTGACCAAGAAGGAGGAGGACGTCGAGTATGGCAATCTGTGGACAGGAGAGATCTATATACCGCGCCACTGTGACACGGAGTATCGCTATATGGTCTGTGCCGTCGATCCCGGCACGGAGCAGCTGGTGGTCCGTCGTTGGGAAACGCAATTACAGGTTTACAAATGCATTATGTACTGACCTCATACGAGTAGAGTCCAAAAATCCAACTGGACCTGGGATCGGATGTGATTTGTATGCACTCGTATGGGAATCATGGTTTGGTGGTTGCCCAATAACAATGCTAAGAGATTCCGTTTCCTTACAGCCCAGAAGAATCAGGGAGCTGGATGAGCAGCCTGCCAAGAATCAGAGTGACATATTTGGCTCGTTTAATGGCCAGGAGAAGGTGGACCGGGGCTGGCTGACCAAGGAGACCCTCGTTCAGCTGAAGTTCTTTTATGCCCCGTTCACGTTTAAGCAGCGCATGAAACGAAGGCATATCCAGGTCAAAGTGACGCCCATGAACCTGAGTATTCCGAGTGCCAGCTGTGATACCATGCTGCCATCTTCCCCCATGGAGGACTCCTTGTCGAACGACACCCATGATACCAAGGAGAACGGCGGTGAATCCTCCACAGCCTTTGCCTTTAGCGAGGTCGTCACCTTGAGTGCCGACGAGTGCGAAATCAGAAGTCAGGAGCAGTTCGGCACCGGCTGTGGACCCACCGATTTGGTTATATTCCACCTGACCGTCGGCGACTTCGAGAACACGGCCTACCTGATTGATTTGTACAGCTACAGCTCCCGGGTGGCCAGGGAAGATGGTCCACCGAATCACTTGGGCTATCATTATGTGCTGCCCAATCTTTTTAAGCGATCTGAAGGCAACTTGGAGCTGCCCATAACCTGTGCCAAGGGCCATCGACCTCTGGGAATGATGCGTCTTGGCTATCTCATAGTGAAGCCCTCATCGCTGTGTGCGCTCATGGATATGAGTGTCAGCTATGCCCGATACTGGAACAACAAGTGGACGGGACTGGATGTGGGCCACCGTGGTTCCGGGACCAGTTTCAAGGCCAAGGACGCTGTGATTCGGGAGAACACCATTACTTCGTTGAAGAATGCTGCAGAGCATGGTGCCGATATGGTGGAGTTCGATGTCCAACTCAGCAAGGATCTGGTGCCGGTGGTGTATCACGACTTCATGATCTATGTTTCACTCAAGTCCAAGTGCAGCATGCAGGAGCACGACTTCCTGGCTCTACCGATGAGGGAGTTGTCCCTGGAACAGTTGAAGAAACTGAAGGTCTATCATATTGCTGAGGGTCTGTCCAGGGAGACGCGCTCGTTTCACAACGATGATTGCTTAGAACACCAGCCGTTTCCCCAGCTATGCGACGTCCTGGATGCCCTAGATGTCCATGTGGGCTTCAACATTGAAATCAAATGGTCTCAGAGGCTGGAGGACGGCAAAATGGAGGAGGAATTTGAGCATGTGGTGGACAGAAATCTCTATATCGATTGCATATTGGATGTCATCCTACGAAAGGCAGGGAATCGCAGGATAGTACTGAGTTGCTTTGATCCTGATATCTGCACCATTCTGAGATTCAAGCAAAATCGCTACCCCGTCATGTTCCTAACCCTCGGCAGGACTACGAAATACCAGAAGTACATGGACCCCAGGGGCAACTCCATGGAGCTGGCCGTGTGGCACGCGGTGGCAATGGAGTTCCTGGGTGTTGTGGCACACACGGAGGACCTGCTGCGAGATCCCAGTCAGGTAACATGATCCACTGTCGAATCGTGAACCATTCAGCTACGGACGCTTTTAGGTGAATCTGGCCAAGGAGCGTGGATTGGTGCTGTTTTGCTGGGGCGACGACAACAACTCCAAGGATACCATCAAGCTGTTGAAGGAACTCGGCCTGCACGCCATCATCTACGACAAAATGGATGTCCTGACCACCAAGGAGGTCAAGGTGGGTCCTTGAATCCATTGTGCGACAAAGACTTAATATATACCATCATTTTTTTAATCTCCCTCCAGCAAAGTGTGTTCCACCTTCAGGCGAAGGACAGCCAAAAGGAACTGCTCAAGTTGCAGGCCCTGGAAATGGGGCATGTGTGGCACACCACTGCCGACGGAAACGAGGAGCAGCAGGCATAGAATCTGAATATTTTATACTCATCTTTATGTACGCAAATACCGCTCTGCTAGGACCCAAACTCATCGGATTATCATATTTGGCTTTTCATCTTCTCCATTTCATCACTTAGCCAATTGCATTTGATTTCTATGAATAGACTTACAAGTTACTTAAAATCTGTCCGAGCAAATTAGGAATCTTTAGGCGCCTCTTTTTCGTTTCCTATTTTAACAAAGCTGCTCTGTACTTCAGTTCTTACGTTCCCAAGAATCTTATAAATACAACTTTTGCATAAAATGAAATGTTTTTGTTTTATTTTGAAGTAGACACAAGTGCGCAATGACTTTAAATTTGTTTAAGTAAAGTTGATCGTCTAATATGTATCTTAAAAACAATGGCGCAATGTACTCGGGTTGACCAGTACGCCACTTGAAAAACAAGGATCGTTTTCCGGTTTATATTCTATGTATTGAGTATTGTGAAATATTTAAGTACTAACGAACAAAATAGCAAGAGGAGCTTAAGAAATAATTCTGTTTGTATGGTTGCTCCATATACAATTAAAAGTTGAATATACAATTTGAATACGCTTTCTACATCACTCATACGCAGTGTTGCATATTGGCGCCACACTCGGGTGAATGTCAGAGCAAAAGAAAATGGAAAATGGAGAGTGGCAGTGCGCATGCACTCGCTGCGGAGATGAAAAACAAATCCACATCCCTCCAGAGAGCACGGAGCATGGAAATGCCATCGGTGTTGGTGCGGTTTGTTCGGATTCCTTTTCAGTTTGTTAAATCGCCTCGAACGGTACGGAACGCGCGCGCGAAGAGATCGGACGGCCAACTCCCCGGAAAGAAAGGAAATTAGTGGCAGGAGGCGCCCCCACGAGGAAAACGAGTGTAGTGCAGTAGTGAATAGTCCTCGGCTTAGTTTACCCCTTTTTTTTATCGCAATTTTCACCAAGCCCCCAAACAGCGGGCTTCCTGTGTTTTTCCGACTTTTCCTGCGACCAGACTGCCCAAAATTCCCAGCATCGCAACTATGTTTATGGGCAGAGCGCAACGAGGCCGCAGGATGAGAGAATAGGTGAGAATTGCTGAGGAATCGGAGAAGGCGGGACAGGAATATGGATATGGATATGGATATTAATATGTGGATGTGGATATGGTTTGCTTACACGGGGCACATAACTGGGCAGGTCGCGGAGTTCCACTTAACGTAGCCTTTAAAGTCGATCCTGCGGTGGCGGACAATAAGGAAGTTTGTGATACACCAAAAACGGAAAAATCGATGCGTGCGCGACGACAACACACACGTGTATGTCCTGCTGTGTGTGTGTATATCAAGTATACGCCAAGTTAACCGAGCCAGGCAACTTCATACCACAACAAAAACACGCTACTTACAAAACACTCCTGACCTACTGTGTGTGCACCACCCCTTCCATTCCCCTCTCCATTGCCCTCCCCTCCCCCCCATTTCATAGCTTTTCCCCCCAGGAGGCAGTTAAGCCACCTTCTAACTACTTTACTTGCGTGTAATGTGCTTTCTGGGGAAGGAAACTCGGCTGAAAAAAATCGTTGAAGGGAAGAAAAAAGCCGAAACCCATTTTAAATACTTCTGGTTTTCTAGCGGAGCATACAAGTTGGCCCGCCGCTCATCAGAGGGAATAAATAATGCGGCTAAATATATACGAATAGGTGCAACATATACACTCCACTTACAAGTATTACCACACTTTAAAGCCACGAATATTGAGCTGGAGTTTGGCAGCAGAGTGTGTATAACATCATCATTAGCATTAATTGCAACTGAATTCCACCACTTTCCTGGAAAGGAAAACTGCCCTCAGCGTGTGTGTTTGGCTTGTTTGTTTTGTTTATAAAGCCTCATGAAAATCGTGTGAGTTGTTTTGTATTTTTATGGCGCTGATTCGAAAATCGAAAATCTAGAATCCGAATTGAGGGGCAGCCGGCTGCGAGTAAACACCAAATGGACACTGATGGGAATCGACAACAGAAAAAGAACAGCCGGACAGACAGGGACAGGCGGACAGTTGGACCAGAAAAAAGTAAGACGGACATGACGCTGTTGCTCACTTTGTGTACATGATGTGCGCACAGCCGCGGCCAGCATACTAGTCACCTTTCACCTTTCCAACAGCAAGTGCCATCAATATACAGATATGCCACAAAGGCGAGGGCGAGGAATGGCCACAGAAATCCGGGATATTGTTACTTTCTCTTTGGGCAACAAAAAATACCTAACTTAGTTGCTTGCCAGCATTGGGCCGTTTCCGGAACTATCTTTTTGGCCGCAGCTGTAGCACCCAGTACCCAGATACATTTGTATCGGTGCGTGCGGGAGTGTAAACAATGCAGCGCCAAAACTAAATATTGTTTAAGAACAAATATTTGCCTTTTGTGCAAATCACGAAAGGCAATTTCGTTATTCCGTTACGTTCAGCTCCTTTTATTTAGGTTTTTTTTTGTTCTTTTTTATTATACACCAAAATATAGTCTTTTTCGTGCCACTCTCCTAAATTGATGACGCTATCGATGATACGGCCCAACTATATTTAGTCAGATCTTGGAAAAAGGGAAAATAATCATCGGTGGGATGCGCTTCACGAGCTGCTAATGGGTCAATTCAATCGAAGCGAATATCATTGCCCATTTTCCAAATAAATGGCCTTAGTTTCAGCGTCGGGTTTGTTGATTCTACAAATTTATGCGGCGCAGAAGTACTTGCTAAATAAGGCGAATCCAGGCATTGAATCATCGGATGCATACATCAATTCATAGAACGCCCTATTCTAGCGATTCCATCCGGCACACTTTAGTACTCGTACATAACTGAATCATTTGGATTTGGCATAACTGATCAATGTTCATTATCTTATAAGTAAACAAAGTGCCCGGTATTCTTCCACAAACCGAAGATGTGCGAAAGTTGGCCCCGCATTTGAAACGATATGAAATATTTGCATTTCCCAATGATTTGTATACCCCAAATATTGATTTAGAATCAATAATTTGTATGCCTTACTTTGGGAGGGAGGTCAAGCGATTTTATTGGGAAACTTGGGTGATCTTTAGTGATTAATTATTCGTTATTATTACACATTTTTAAAGTGGCAAGTGACGAAATGTTACCCCAAAATGTAGTACATTTTCCATGGACACCCTCCACATTAGTTGTTCCTAAAATAGTTGTGCGTGCGTATATAAAAGCACATGTGTCTAGGTCATAAACTCATAATTACGAACCATTAAATGAAGGGATCCATTCGTCTCCTGAATAAGAATGTGTAATTACTTCACGAATACCCGAAAACTTTTATATTCGATATTACTTTTGTGCCTTCTTCAACCAAAGCATAAGACAGAATCTAAAGTCGAGTATAAATTATAGTAATAATTTTCGTCCTCTCTGTTACAGCGGCATGTTGTCCAACTCAGCCCCAACATAGTGAGTAGCCTGAGGGCAAGGATCCATGGAGGTGTTCCTAATATCTGGCCAAATATTTCGCAGTGGTGGTCCGAGGTCCTGAGGCCTGATCCCCATTGGGTGCCGCAGAGTGGATCGAAGTGGTGCCTGGAAGGAGTGGTACGCGTAACTGCATAAATCGTGGGCAAGGACAACGAAAAGCATTCAGGTTGGGTAGCAAAAAGCGGAAATAAGGTCCCTAAAACAATACAAAACACAAAACGCACAAGAAATATTAAACCCTAAAGAAAGCACCTTAAGTAAAAACACAAGAAACTGAAACCAGTTACACTAAAAGATTACGTTATTTGTTTAATCCTAATTTAATTACAAAAATATACCGAAAGCAAGCAGTCAGCCCCACTTCAACTGGGGTTGGCTTTTGAGCACTTGATCCAGACAATGACTTATATACCTAAAAAAATGCAACACTATGCGCATGCAGCCATGAATCTGATCAACATGGACTCGGAGAACCGGGTGGTGCTCAATGTGGGTGGCATTAGACACGAGACCTACAAGGCCACGCTGAAAAAGATTCCGGCAACGCGATTGTCGCGATTGACAGAGGCCCTGGCCAATTACGATCCGATACTGAATGAGTACTTCTTTGATCGGCATCCGGGCGTCTTCGCACAAGTGCTCAACTATTACAGGTGGGTGTAATCACTCACATTGCCATGCTCCATCAATCGCATTGCCAAATATCCCACAGAACTGGCAAGCTGCATTATCCCACGGACGTGTGCGGACCGCTGTTTGAGGAGGAATTGGAGTTCTGGGGCCTAGACTCGAACCAAGTGGAGCCCTGCTGTTGGATGACCTACACGCAGGTGAGTGCCACGTGCCATTCGCATAGTCGGGAGATGAAAACATTCTTATTTGCCTGCAGCATCGCGACACCCAGGAAACCCTAGCCGTACTCGATCGTCTCGATCTGGATACGGAAAAACCGTCCGAGGAGGAACTGGCGCGCAAATTCGGCTTCGAGGAGGACTACTACAAAGGCACCATATCCTGGTGGCAGGAAATGAAGCCGCGCATTTGGTCCTTGTTCGATGAGCCCTACAGTTCCAATGCAGCCAAGGTAAGTGCGCTCTATAGATGATTTCGTTTGCAAAGTCTTTCATCATTCCCATGTAAAATTGCGCCTGTCAGCAGCAACACTTTAATTCACTTTTCAATTAAGTTGTACGCATGCTGAGCAATTTTTCGAATGAGTGAAGCGAACACCCACAGAAAATCGCACTTTAAAAGCATTCTAATAAGTGATTATATTATAGTTTCAAACACACAGACGGCAAAACATCTATTTTTATTTCAAGTGCATGCATATCAAAGCATACACGACATTAATCATCCCCACGAATTGTTGTAGATATTAGATGTATGTAGTTATAATATTTGGCTTACTTGTAGACTATTGGCGTGGTTTCGGTGTTCTTCATCTGCATTTCGATCCTGTCGTTCTGCCTGAAGACCCATCCCGACATGCGGGTGCCCATCGTCCGGAATATTACAGTGAAAACTGCGAATGGAAGTAATGGCTGGTTCTTGGACAAGACGCAGACCAATGCGCACATAGCCTTCTTCTATATCGAATGCGTGTGCAATGCCTGGTTTACCTTTGAAATATTGGTAAGAGATGAACCCTACGAGCTCCCAGTTGAAAACCTTCAGTTAATCACATCCATTTCAGGTGCGCTTTATCTCATCGCCGAACAAGTGGGAGTTCATCAAGTCATCTGTTAACATCATAGACTACATAGCGACGCTTAGTTTTTATATCGATCTAGTGCTTCAGCGGTTCGCATCGCATCTGGAGAACGCTGACATCCTCGAGTTCTTCTCGATCATCCGCATCATGCGTCTGTTCAAGCTGACGCGCCACTCGTCCGGACTGAAGATCCTGATCCAGACGTTCCGGGCCTCGGCCAAGGAGCTGACCCTGCTGGTGTTCTTCCTCGTCCTGGGCATCGTGATCTTCGCCAGCCTCGTCTACTACGCGGAGCGCATCCAGCCGAACCCCCACAACGACTTCAATAGCATACCCCTGGGCCTGTGGTGGGCCCTGGTCACCATGACCACCGTCGGCTACGGTGACATGGCCCCCAAAACCTACATCGGCATGTTCGTGGGCGCCCTGTGCGCCCTAGCCGGCGTACTAACCATCGCACTGCCAGTGCCCGTCATCGTCAGCAACTTCGCCATGTACTACTCGCACACGCAGGCCAGGGCCAAACTGCCAAAGAAGCGGAGACGAGTGCTTCCCGTCGAGCAGCCGCGGCAGCCCAGACTGCCAGGTGAGTGCGCCCACCTTCAGTCATTTGTAATAAACAAATAAAGTAATGTACCATTATATTTGAGCATATCCTATCAGTTCCATAGCTGCAGTTACCTCAAATCCATGTGTATATATTGCAGAAGCTGCCTAAGATCCAACTCATCCAACTTTGAATTAATAAGCAAAAAATAATAACATACAATATACAGTTATATTTGAGTATATCCTATCAATTCAAATCCCATGTATATATTCCAGAAGCATCCAACTTTTATTTGATGATTTATTGTAATTACCTTTAGTTTCCTAGACATCTAAATACAACGTAAATTACGATTAATGCGAATAAAATGAAAATAGAAGCGTTTAAGTAAATCAAGCAATGAGGTGTGTTTACAATATTGTGTAAATAAGTGATAGACGAGTTGCGCAAACATATTACGAAAACAGTCAGTGCTTATAGCAATATTTTCATAGCTACCAGGTGGAATTTAGAGTAGGCAATGTAATTTTAGGAATTCTTATTTATCTGCAAGCTAACTTATTGACAATTTTGGTTTTCCAGGTGCACCTGGTGGTGTCAGTGGCTGCGGCACCCCGGGCTCGGGTCCCCACTCCGGTCCCATGGGATCCGGCGGAACTGGACCACGTCGCATGAACAATAAAACCAAGGACCTGGTCAGCCCCAAGTCAGGTGAGTCTGCGCGTGTCCTTAAAGGAGTTACACCACACTGATTCCCGCAATCCAAGCAAAATGCAAGCCAAGCTAAAGCCACCAACCAAGTATACTGCAAAGTAAACAAAAAATAAACATATTGAAACCGAAACGAGCTTCCAAAGGCACCGCCAAACCAAATGTATTCCACTAAAAGTACAAAGGACGAGCAAGCCAGCTAATACAAGCCAAACAAGTTCTTAACCTGTCTTTAAAAGCTCGCACAGCTGCACCCTCAGTTCAAAAGTAATCGAGTTCAATGGATTAACTTAGCAATACACAGTACAAACCAGTAATAAATACTCGTTATCCTTTGTGCCGTCTCGCAGTTTCTCCTGGCAAATGAATTTTTAGTGAAAGATTTAAGCAATATCATTTAAGAGCCCAGTAAATGCTGCCAAGAAATGCAGATCTTTGACCCATAACGACTCCCGATTTTGGGTGCGCTTCTCCTATTGGCTATACTATATCCATTATATAACATATCATTCGTCGTGTACGTGTATATATGTACTCTATGTAATTATCATGCATTTAAGGTTTCTTTATTCATACTCCAGTTTTTCGATTTCAAGCTTAGCTTTAATTTCACGCAAATCATTCAAAGGGACTTTGATGGTGTATCATGGAGTTCGAGTGCAAAGCCGATGGGAGTGTAATGGAAGAATTATTATTAGTAAATATTTATTCTAGAGAAAGGTCTAAGAACCTTAGTTCTTTTTACACACCCATCGATCTGCAAATAGCTTGAACTCCAAGCGTAAAGCAAAAGATTCAAGTCATTTCCATATCATAATGTGTAAGCAGACCTTTACTTTTTCTTCATCCATCGAAGGCATACCTGTATATTCAAAGTCATCGCCCTCCAATCAGTTTGGGATGTACTTTATTCCATTGAGTCAGCAAAATACAAGAATATATATATTTTTTCCCTTTCTTCACTGATTTTTATAACCAGATACGAGACTCTATTTTATATGTACCTATTTCAACCATTCATTTTTGATATCTATGCTCCAAATACTTTCGTTTACTTTGATATAATTTCATTTTATTGATAAACGATCCAATCCAAACCCCAAAAATCTTGTGTAAATAGATGAATATACAACAATGATTGGCAAACCGCGCGATGGCAAAAAGAGCAGGCTGCTCTAAGCCAACAAACACAACAGCACCAACATGAACCACGATACGACAACAACCACAACAGAACCAGCTGAAGAACCAATATTCCCCCATACCATTACTTCCAAGCTAGAACTCGCAATGAGAGATGATGATGATACCTTCCTATATAAGAATTTGGCAAACTGATCTATGAGTAAGCGAAGGAAAAGTTGAGAGAAACCGAAAACGCAACCCAAGGACTGGATAAAGATCATATAGCGGATATAGACCAAATCGGATCGTGGTATGTGGATCGATGGCACACTTTCTGGATGCCAAATAGCCATAGATACATATATGAATACTCGTATGGTTACTTTGAATATGGACGACGTCTGCTACTGATATCTACTGTACTACTACCACTCCAACCTGCTATATAATCGTATATATAACTACAATATGTAATTTTCTACGTGTTTTCCTCTCTCTCTATTTCTCCACCTTTCTTTACATAAATTATATTATATTCTATATATATCGTGTACGTGTTGTTCTTCAGTTCTGGCTCGTTCGTTTCTTCGTTAGCAGTGTACAAGATACTATATACTATGTTCAGATCTGTAAACGTATCTTCTCTCATTCTCTATGTGTGCGTGTGTAACTTTGTGACCTTTTGTTCTAGTGTCTAATCGCCCCGAATCAGAGAACCCTTAGCTATGTAATTGATCGCAAAACTTGGAATCTACTTTGTATTATCTCGAACTCTTGTATTTCAGATATGGCCTTCAGTTTCGACTAAAACAGAATACAGAACAGAACCAGAAAGATATTTTGTAATTTGATAAGCCAGCTCAAGACACAGTATAAGAAAAAAACAAGAAAAACTCGGCAACAAAATCGAAAAAAATCGACACAAAAATCAAAACGAAACCTCAGTTATATACGAAATGTAAAGAAATAAGAAATCCCCGGTTCGTTCATCTATCATCTAACTATCAGCTAACCAAAACTCGGACTCTGCTGGGCGGGTGTGTGTTGGTTAAGAAACCTTTTAATATCTACCCCTAACAAACTCCAACTTTCTTGCTCTCTTCCAACCCGAAAAATCCCCAACTAAAAGTGTCAAATAGTTGAAAAACTTGGAAACTAGTTCGTAGCAAGCAGAAACTCTAGAGTTTAGAGCCACCTTCACAAATCCGATTTCCCAGCATTTGATTCTACAAAGTTTTACCCCCACTCTGCCTGAGTCCAACTTATCCAACCGAGCGGAAATCTTTGCCAAACGTAGCTTGCAGATACTGTATCTAGCCTTATGTGTGTGTTTATTTGCCGAGCATGCTGCATGTGACCCGATTTTGACCCGAGTCTTGGAGTGTGATTAGTGTTTTCATATAGTTGTGTGCGATGTTTGTAATCATGTTCGTGTTACACTTAACCCTCCCAATGAAACCACCCCCCACCACCCCTCGTATATTGTAGCAACCAAGTGCACCCAGTAATATACCATAAGCAATTTTGAAAAACAAAAAAAAAAAAAAAAATAAGAAAACAAAGTTGCCTCCCACCTGCCATATGAAAAATTCATTCAAAGTTGACCAAATTTGAAAACTCCAGCTTGACTAACCGACTTAATGAAAATAATATTTATTTCTCTCTCTCTTTTTCTTTCTCTGTTTTTCTCTTACTCATCCTGGACTTCCCACTGCTATATCTATCTATTGTTTCCGGCTATATAACTCCACCTACTCCACCTACCTCCTATCCACCCGAAACCGAAACCGAAACTGATAATCCTTTCTGTGGCGGGGTTAAAACAAAAAGTTGCTCAACTTTTCGCAGGTCCACTGGGCGCAAGTATTGTGGCCATGAGTCCCAGGACAATGCTGGATCTCAATCCTGCCCTGGCGATGGGCAAGCCTTCGTTCCAGCCCCGTATACCCACCCCCCTGGCAGCCACACCCCCTCCCCCGGTCAGTTCCGCCGGGGGGCTGACGGCATCTGGGATTGGCGCCACTGGAGCCACTGGCGCAACTAGTGCACCACAACCAGCCGCACCACCACCCAGCATTGCGGTGTCCACCACAGCGAGTGTGGGCAAGGATCTGGGCATCTCGACCACCACCACCACGGCCCAGGAGACCAGCAAGAAGGCCTTTCTCTAAAGGAGCAGCCTGATCAAGGACTCAGCCACCAGCTATGTATCCACGATCCCCATATCCCCCAATAAGCAATATCTATTCGATGTCATACAGAGCCTTCGCATACGTATCCACTGAGAACAAAGATGGCTAAAGGATCCATACCTATCACTGATTATAGATCGTCTTTGTTTCCCCATATCACTCACTGTGTTTCGCAGAGTCTCATATCGAAAAATATCGCAATGAATATCATATATTCACCAACGAGTCTACTATGGATCAGAATTAGTTGGATATCCACCTTAAATCAAATATCAATTGTGATGCTATATTATGAAAAGTATTCTTTGATTTCGGAAAAGGTTTAGAATGTTACTCTACATAAGCATTTTGACTGTTATTATATATTAGTTGATTACGTTTATATATCGAATCCGACATATTTTGTCTCAAAGAAATGAAAAGCCAATATTATAGCAATACTTTGGTTCAAGACCAGTTGTAAGCCTAACTAAATCCACTCTTTTTCTTTAATTCAGCGATAAAATATATTTGTAACCTAACATAATTGTATTCCAATAATGATCTATCCATCTCTGATACCTAGACTCGCAATTTGTGTTACCATATCACGACATACTCGTATTGTATTCCCTATTTGCATCATTTTTTAAGAAATCAAAAAAATCACAATGTAGCTAATACTTTTTTTTAAGGCCCTGAACCCACTCTACTTTTAAAGTTATATTTTTCAGCTCCTTATTCGTGGGATTGAAAGTGATTGCTTGGTTAGCTGGAATGGCACAGCGTAAGTGCAGTTTTATTGTCAGCCAATATGAGGCAAATCAAATATGATGTACATATACATTTTAGAAGATTCAATGCTGAAGTAGCTTCTTGATATAGCGACCCACTACCAAAAAAGGGCTCGAGCTAAGGGCTAATTCATATTTAAAAAAATCAAACACAATTGGAGTTTCTTAAACTGCAACTTACGATCTCAAGCTCGTTGCGAAGCAGTCCATTGAAGGCATTTTTGGTGACCTCCACTGGTCCGGGAGGCACGCCGAGTCCTCCGCAGGTGTCTATCCGGCAGGTGGAGCACGACATTGAAGGTGGAGCATCCAACACACCCGGACCCACCTTGGACATGGCATATCGCTGACCACGCTCGCACAAGTCCACTGGATCGCCGGACTCATGGACGCTTAAGACATCTCGTTGGTATTGGCCACATTAATATCCCGGTGGTACAAATTATCCAATGGCGTGGTTTCCAGGTGGGAATTCCGCAACTTGATGAATCTGAAAACTATATCTCGCGTAGTACTTCCATTTTATGAAGAGGTTGGTGCTTACTTCTCAGGCATTTTGAGTTGATTCCTCCTCAGTTCCTCTTAAACGTGTATACAATTAGATGTATTAGATTTTATTGTTTTATTGTTTAGAAATATCTTTTTTTTTCAAACTCAGAAATTGTATACACGTTTAACAGGAACTGAGGAGGAATAAACTCAAAATGGCTGAAAAGTAATTAAATGGAAGTATTGTGCGAGATATAGTTTTCAGATTCGTCAAGTTGCGGAAACTCACACCTGGAAACCATTGGATTATTTGTACCACCTCGATATCAATGTGGCCAATACCTATGAGATGATTTAAGCGTCCAAGAGCCATGGCGCTGGATCCACCACCTGCCGAGTCGGCACCTGCGGAGGACTCGGCGTGCATCCCGGCACAGTGGAGGTCACCAAAAATGCCTTCAATGGCCTGCGTCGCAACGAGCATGAGATCGTAAGTTGCAGTTTAAGAAACGCCAATTGTCTTTGATTTTTTTAAATATAGTTTAGCTCGAGTCCTTTTTTGGCAGTGGGTCGCTATATCAAGAAGCTACTTCAACAGTGAATCTTCTAAAATTTTTATGTACATCTTATTTGATGCACCTTATATTGGCTTACAATAAAATTGCACTTACGCTGTGCCATTCCACCTAACCAAGAAATCACTAGTAAGAAAATAGGATGGGCTCAGGGCCTTAAAAAAAGTAGTATTAGCTACTATCGACATAGTGATTTTTTTGATATCTTAAAAAATGATGCAAATAGGGAATACAATACACGTACCTATCAACCTAAGCATAACATTAGCTAAATATAGATAATCCAATTGCTTGACGCCAACATTTTACCAACGAGATTTAACCAAGACAGAGCCGAAACCGTGTTTTTAACCATACAAAGTGTTTTTACCGATTGCAAGCTTGCTAACGATCCATTTTCTATATAAGCCATAGATATTAAATCGACAAGCAGTGTATATAATCCAAAATGCTTTACAACTCGGTTCGCCAGTTCCTTATGCGTTGTGTAAAGACTCGACTGTCCATCAGTTCTAATGGGGCAGTTCGGTTGAAAGCTTTAATTTGATATATTTATAGAGGGGGACTCCAACTCAAACGCGGCTTGAGAAGCTTAATTAAACAGAAACCAATCAAAAGTACATACTCCTATACCTTTTTTTAAAAATTCATTCTGGCCCAGCACGTGTTGACTTTAACTTTTTCCCAAACTAAAAATAGGAAAGGTGCTGGTTTCTTCAACGATAGACGCAAAGTTTTCCGGGGAAAAGTTGAAGCCGATGAAAAACAAACGAAATTTTCCAACTGTTGGCACTTTTCGCTCATCACACACTTACATGCTGGGATTACTCGATAAGTTGGAAGTAAAATCGCTTCATATAATTTTCCAGGTCGAAAAGTTGGCTCACATATCAACAAGCTAGGGGAACCTTGGGGAAATTTTCAAATTTCTGCCAGTTAAAATGCAAATTATTTCTATTAAATTTGGTTTGGTTCTCCACAAAGCAACGACTACCCTGAATAAATGCAAAACAAACAAAGAATCCAGAAGCGGCAGGGAATTTCTTACAGTTCCTTTCAGTTAACTTGAATTTGTTGAGAAAGTTTACAAATTGCTGTGGGGTTAAGTGGGTGGACTTAGCCCGAAAGCTCACTGGGTTGGTTAAAAAAAAGCAAACAGGTTAGCAAAATTGTTTTTCCCCAATTTTCCTTTGATTTCACTTGCGCAAGTCATTAGCTAATTCTCTTGTACATTTTGAATATATATATGGTTATATATATATCACTCTCAGCAGTCATTTTGCCTACATACTTGTAAGAATAAACATGATAATTACTGAAAACAAACAATGGAACAAAAACAAGCGGAATAATATGATGCAAAACTTAAGCAGCATTAAGATCGAAGATGGGCAACAAGTAAACGAAGTTTTGGGAAACATTTGTTAAGTTTTTATAATGAACAAAGCATTAATAATAACTAAATTAATATTAAATATTGCAAGCTATAGGAAATGGATACAAACAATTGTTTATATCGTTTCGTTTTCTCGCTATGATTTCGAAACAGTTTTTTAATTGTATAGTTAAGCAAATTGTATACTATTTGAACTAAACAAAACAAATTGTTCTCTCAATAATTCTTGAACAAAGAAAATTAAGCTAATTATATATACATTTATATATATAATTGAACAAATATATATATATGAATTTAAAAAAATAAAATGCAATAAAGAAATCTATTGAACACCAAACGCACCGAATTTACTTAGTGGTAACTAGGAAAATGTGGTTTACTTATAGTTTTAACACCAAAATTTAATCAAATACCTAAGTTTGTTTTTACATTTTATAATCTCTGCAGAGTAACGTCGACATTTGTGTTTGTTCCTATGCTTTTTAAAATTCCACTCTGGCTGGCGCCTTGCACACCACTTTATTGCCAATTTCGGCATTTGTTTCGATTTCATTACCAAAATTTGCCATTGCAATAACAGCTCAGACACCCAGGCCAACAAAGGCGAAACAAAGGAGAAGCCCCCGAGGGCCTGACCTTCAACACTTGGTGTAAAAGAGCCATGTAGGCGAATAGCTCCAGCCAACCAAGTGCGAATCGGGTCTCGGTCTCCATTCACCTCTTTTCTGGCCCTTTGGCGATGGTCCCATAAAGCGCTTCATTAACCAGAGACTTTTCGGATGGGATTGGCATTGGGATGGGGAAGGGGAAGGGGCTGTACATGGAGCTGGGTCAGGCGCCCCAATGCAAAAAGAGCACAAATTCCAATGCCCAAACGGGGGACGGGGAATTCCCTCATCCTAAGACCGTAGCTATTTCGGACTGGCCTCAATCAACAGTTGGTTCTAAATGGGGGGATTTGGGGGTGGTGGCTAAGCACTCGGATGGTTAGTGGTTTTATGGAAGAGGAGCAGAGATTTGCTCTCTAGCAATTTTTTGCTAGCCGCACGAACACAAGCTGCCTGGGTGAACTAATAATCCATGAAATTTCAATTGCAAGTCAAAAATTATTGCCCCCTCGCTCTGTCTTCATAGCACCTCTCTCTTTCGAACTCTTATCTAGCCATCTCTCTCTCTTTCTTTCTATCTGCTGTAAGTTGTAATCAGTGAGAGCTTTTTGTTGTGCTGGAAAAACTCGGTTACTATATATTTTTGCCGACAATTTGCAGAGTTTTCCAGTTTCGTTGGCAGGGGGCTTTCCTTTTCTTTTTTCAGGCGGTGAGGGTCTGGAAAAGCTCTCTCTTTTTGGGGGCACTCTCACCCAGTTTCTCTTTGGGGCATCCCCATAGAGCAATACGCACTCTTCAGGCGAAATGCTCATCTATTTGGCTATTTTGCATAGAGAAGAAAGCTGTATCTCTTTCTCTTGACAGACAGAAGAGAGAGTGGTGCGGTTTTGGGGGATGGTGGAGCTGGTGGTGCTGGTGGTGCTGGAGGCGCGGGTGGCTCTGCCGGTCCGGTCTCTTTGGCTTTGGTTGTCGAACGGCGGATTCAGTTGAATTTCGACTGCCCGACAAGCCAGTCTCTCCATCGCTTTTCTCGCCCGCGCGCGTCGGTCTTTTCTTTGTCCGCATCTCCGCATTTTCCCAGTATCTCGGTGTCTCGGTGTCTCAGTGTCTCAGTGCCTCCAGTGCCGACAGTTTTCCCCCGAAAATTGTCAAAATAATACCGGAAAAAATTGCAAAAGAAGGCAGTACATGTAATAAATAAAAACGAGCGAAGAATAGCCAACCGTGAAAATATAAATATAAATTCCTGGCGTCAACTGTCAGCGACAGCGGCATTTTCCAGCACCATGTTGTTTCTGGGCATTCGGCGATTTTAGGTTCGTTTTTTGTGTCCCGTTTACCTACTATTGCTATTTTGCTATTTTGCTGTTTTCCTATTTTGAATATTAAAAGCCAAGTCCGAGGACGGACTCAATAGCAATGACGCTGACAGTTTTCACGACCCCCCAGCCGCTCCTCCCAGGGTTTTCCTTTGCCAGCGATTAAGACCAGTCAAAGTTGTTGGCCGTTGCCTGGCTACGTTTACAAGCCAAGAGTCGAGAGATGCCATGCATTATACATAAGCTGTAGTGAGAGGCTTGCACCGCGAAAAATGTTACCAAAAATTTGTCATCACTCTGACAGGTCTTTAGCGCACATCAATGGTGTCAAATTAGCCATTTAAGCAGTGACAGTGTGGAAAGTTAATTTGCACTGGTTATATATTAGGCCATATATGCAACTTGTAGGTTTAAAATAGGTTTTTTAAATTGCCATCCGATTTTGAAGCAACTGTAACCGCAATTTTGTGCTTAGCTTACAGAAAAAAAGAAACTTTAACAAGCAAATGAAAAACTTTATACTTATATATGTAGGAAGCTTTGCCCTTAATTAGCTTTCACATTTCGAAACTCAGAACTTTTTCCAAGTGTAGGGAGTAATACGAGAAAGGTGACCAAAGGGGGTGGGCAGCGGCCAAAGTGGCGAAACCGAGCGAGAAAGGAGTAAAGTGCTAGTAGCTGCTGGTCTCCAACTAGATTAACTGTGAGCCGAGCTTTTATTTTTCAAGTCTTTATTATTAGCCCGGCAATCAGGGTTTCCCTGCGTGGAAATTGGACACTTCTGCAGCACACTCGTTATATATTAATGACAATTTCCCTGACAAATATTGAATCGATTGTAATGGTTTCTGGCAATGGTAATTGTAACTCGATGCGGTTAGTTAAGGGGTATCTGAATAATTGCGGTGGCCTTTTGGTTTACCGGTTGATCAGGCGGAAATGTGGAAATGTGAAGCAGGTCGTATTCGGATTAGATGGAATTGATTGAGATATGCCGCGAATGGAAGGTGGAAGGAGGTAACACTTTATCTTCCCTCAATTTATTCGCATTTTGATGAGAACAAGATATTTTTAGATTATTCTCATGGCAGATGAGAATGCAGCTGCTGGGTAGCAACTCCTGCTTTGCTCCTGAAATAGATTTAAAATTCAGCACAACGGTTGAATTATGTCTTAGGCACTGGAGGATGAAAACTTGGATGGCAGGTGCTTAAAATCAACTTTCTTCATTCAACTAATCCGAACTTTAACAGTCAAATGCATACAAAATTTGCACAGTTTCAGCACACAAAGTTTTTCGCATCCTTATTTATTCATTATTGCGGCAGGGAAAATATAAAAGAGCATATTTAACTTACATGAGCATAACTTTCATAAAAAACTGGAATTTTACAGTGAATTAAAATTATAAATATATGACAGCGAACAACGTTTAATTTACGTTGATACAAAAGGCCCAAAGTGCATTCCTAGGCCAATTTGTTCAATATTATTCCAGTAAGTGAAACAATATGCGGAGAACAATGGCGACTGTTTCCGTTCGTGTTTTTAGACCCAAAGTTTCCAATTTTGGTCAGCAGGGTAGACCGAAAATCGATGAATAGCTATAGATTTACCGGCTTATTCACAAAATACCCAAAGAGAGTCAACATCAAAGTTTACACAGCACGCGGAGTGACAACCTGACAATTACGCGAAAAACCCAGCTAGAACCGCTGATGCCAAATAAATGGTGAGGAAAACTTTGGGCCAGCCAAAGTGGCGATGGAAAACCCGTCGGAGTTGCTTGAGTTTTCCATGGCATACTTTCAGGCGAACAGGCCCGAATGGGGGAAAATGCGGTGAAAAGTGCTGGCAAAACTGCGGCCATGAATAACGCAAAATCAGGGTATCCAACGGGTCGAGTATCCAACCTGGCGACCCGTTTAGCGCGATTCTTTGGTTAATTTTTTATGCGATTACCCAGCAGGCAGCTGGCAGGCGGCAGGCTGTAATTGCATTTTAATATTGATGATATATTGATGCCGCGCCTTGCCAACTGGATGGACGTGTGCTCACTTCATTTATGAAATTTACATTTATTTCATTTAGTGACAGGCCACCTTTTCGGTTTTGATTAAAGCGATTCGCGGGTCACCAGCCAGCCACCCAATCAGCCATCCAGTCAGAATTCATTTGCATAGTTTGATTTCGCGATTCGCATTTGGCATTCGGATGCCGAATGTTGACACTGGGAACTGCCGTCAGCTGGGAAAACAGGCAAAAGGTGAGGTGTTTGTCGAAAATCAATTGAACGGTTAAGTGCCAGGACACTTCACGCGAATTTTCCACTCTCGCTCGCTCTACACTTGCAAATAAGTTTTTACAAATAATTGCTGCACTTCAAATTGTGATTTACCACGCTGCTTTTATGCATAAAAACATATTCCCGACATAAATTGAGAAAAATTATACACTAGAATTATAAATAATAAATGCAAAAGTTTGGCAAAGAATATTCGAAATATTAGAATTCCAGAAATATTTCTCGAGTTTCTAAAGATTTCTAAAACCCTAAGCTTTATAGCTCTTCGCACGGTTGTTTCTGTTTTTCCGAGTGAGCATTCCATTTCCATTTACAATATTAAATTTGTGTCGAAGGAGTCGTGAGAGGACAGAACTCGTCCTGTTTCGTCCCTTTTCCTGCTGAACTCCGCACAAAATTTTCCACAGCTCCCCGCCCGCAGACAAATGCATTATTTTTGTTTTTCTCTTTGTTTTTCCCTCCACTCGAATAACAAGTTCATTTCGAGTCCTGTAAACATTGGATTCCATCACAACAAAATTCGTATATGTCAATCGAAAGTATTTCGTTTCGTTTCGTTTCGTCCTGCTGATTCGCCTCAAAAATTGTTTGAAACAATTTTGGGCTTCATTTTTTCTTTTTTGAGAGAAACCTTTTCGCTTTTTGTTTACAATTGGCTTATCTCAGATTTGTCTATGGATTTCGATTACAGTGAAATGGATATTTTGTGAGGCTGCATCAACAGGACATGCCAATTATTTATTGATTAGATAGATATTAAGATTTATCTCCCAAAAGGGATGCCACAAAAAAGCAACCAAAAAACAAAAGGGACAAAAGCGTATCAATATCCATGGATTGACCTGTAAGCCCATTGTTGAAACATTATCTAAGGGCCTCCGAAAGTCATCGAGTTCAGCGCCTCGACCTTTTCGATTTGAAGCAATTTGCCAGTGGCCGTGGCAGGAAAAGTTTTTAATTAGATGGAAGTCATCGGCATAAAGTGCGGATAATTTGCATATTTCTTGAAAATTCACGAAACATTGAATAAGACTCTCGGCTAATTTAGTGACTTAAAAAGTTTTAAATTGTTAGGAGTATGGTAATGAAGACACAGCCCGAAGTTTTCCGTACAACTGTTGAGCATTTTTCAGCTTTCAGCGGATTAACTTTGTTCGGCTTGATTATGATTCATTTATACGTTGGAAAATATATTTTTCACACTGCATAATTCGGCGATTTGTTATTGATGGATCCATTAAACACAATTGCTCTAAGCTTATTAAACTAGACGGTTTCTCATTAAGGCTGCTTTACATACTTTTGAATAAATAAGATGAACAAGTGCTTTAAACAACTAAACTGTGTATGTATTTTGTGACTGCATATTGATGGGGAAGTAATTGATTTGTAGTACGTATACCTTGTTTATAAAGTATTTTAAATTTATAAGTGTCCTTTAACTCTTTTGGTAAGCTCATTCATTACAAGCAAACATGGACACATTTTCGGCTTGTCTTTCCGCCCAAGCCTCTTGAAACTTTCTCGAAAATGGGCCCAAAAAATTCTTTGGCGTTCCTCAAGTATTAATTCTCAACTTTCCTTAAAGCGCTCAAAGGAGCGGATTCCCTGCAGTGTTTAAACCAATTAGTTTGAATAATTTGCCGGCGCTTGTATCATTTATAACCCGAAAACTTCTTAATCAAGCCGCACAAGCCACACAAGGGTTTCCTTTGGTTTTCCCCTTCCCATAACTTCCCATTTCCCATGGCTTTCCCAGCTTTCCCAGCATTGCCTAATTGTCCCTCGGTGCGTTTTCTTTGCTCCAGAATTTTAGGGCTTAATCCGAAGAAGACTTTTGGAGCTAGGGACTGCGAAGTGCATCTTATCTTAAGCACTAACCAAAACGCATTGACAGCCACTTGATGCTGCGTTTTATTTTCGGTTCCTCCGTTTTGGCCATGGCAGTTTATGGCTTGCAAATCCTTTGTGATTTAGTAGAGTGTCACCTCCTGGAAATCCCTCTCAGCTGTCACATAAACCGATTAAACTTTGAGCAGCTTATGCATTTTGTATCTGTCAGCTATCTCGTATCTGGCAAATGTGCAGCTCTAAGCAGGCATCGCCAGCAACTCCTCCATGAATCGCCCCAAATCAAACGTATAAACACACAACGATGACCATAAATAGAAAATTGAAAGCACTATCGATAGCTTCAAAATGTTTTGCTTTGAGACGAGAAATGTTTTCATAAGTCTCGGGACTTAAACACTTGTTAAAAACTGCAAAAAAAAAATGCAAATATGTGCAGATATTTTTCTCCAAAAAAAAAACTAACTTAAATTAAAATGACAAATATTTGTATTGATATATGCGTTTGTAATATTATTTTATTGTTAGTCCTATTATTTTTGCTAAACTGTGAAATCGGAACTTCTTCCCCATTAATGGACAAAATGAATAGCTCAATACTCGAATGACACTTATTTGAGATTCTCTTGCTTAATGTTTTTGCAATTATCCTTGCCTTGATGACTCCTTTTGCTTGGTATTTTTGTAAAACTTCTTTCTTCCGCCTGGCAGGACCGCAAATAAACATGGAAAACTTTTCCCTGCGATTTGTTTATTATTTCTCGTTGCTCCTTGAAGCAACTCAACTCAACTCATCTCATTGCTGCTGTTCAAGGAGAGAATAAAATTTAAAGCATAATAA